CGAATACAAATTCTTAGGCTGTCTCACTATATGTATATATATAAACACAAACGTGTTTACCATCAGGGGTCTTTTGTCATAATAAAGCTACTACTTTGTATTTATGAAGAGAGTTATCTAAAAAGTTATTTTTTAATCATGGGACAGAAAAGAGCTTTTAAAATTAGGTTCCATATAAACTTTTTGTTTCCAAAGTTATCTTCAAATGGCTTACTGAACAATCCTCTTTTACACAATACACTTTTATGTAAGGATTGAAAAGGTTGGATAAATACCAAGAAATACTTCATGAACATTTTAAACTTCTTTTTTAAAATGTTTGATTTACTTTTGCTGTTACACAGCACATTTAGTCTTGGAAGTATATTTTAAAAGATGATGTCATTGGCCCCATCTTGAGAAGTGTGAAAGTGTTAGCCACTCAGTCATGTCTGACTCTCTGCGACCCCATGGACTGTAGCCCACCAGGCTTCTCTGTCCATGGGATTTCCTAGCAGGAATACTGGAGTGAGTTTACCATGCCCTCCTCCAGGGGGTCATCTCGGCGACCCAGGTATTAAACCCTGGCCTCTTCCCTGGATAAAGAGTCTGCCTGCAATGCAGGAGATTTGGGTTCGATGCCTGGATGGGTAAAGTTCCCCTGGAGAAGGGAATAGCAACTTACTCCAGTATTTCTTGCCGGAAGAATCCCATGGACAGAGGAGCTTGGTGGGCTGCAGTCCATGGGGTTGTAACAGCTGAGCGACTAACACTTTCACTGCATTGCAAGCAGATTCTTTGCCATTTGACCCACCAGGGAAGCCCTGGACCCATCTTATGGATGCATAATTTACAGTTTTAGCAATAATGTCCAGCAGTTTTTCTACTTAAATATGAAAATATGAAATACTCCATAATTAAAGTTTGAAAATTTTCTTATTAATTTTCAGGAGTTCTTTGTATGTTAGGACTTATAATCCTTTTATTATATTCTTGTGATGTAGGGAAGTATATATGTCTTGTTTTAAATTATTGGTGGCTCAGATGGTGAAGCGTCTGCCTGCACTGCGGGTGACCCGGGTTCGATCCCTGGGTTGGGAAGATCCCCTGGAGAAGGAAATGGCAACCCACTCCAGTACTCTTGCCTGGAAAGTTCCATGGACGGAGGAGCCTGGTAGGCTACTGTCCTTTGGGTCGCACAGAGTCGGCTGAGCGACTTCACTTTCTGATATAATGAATTTTTCTATTCATAAGAGAATGTGTTTTGAAACTTTTCTTGGGAACTGTGAAAGACCTTTTACTATCAGAAGTAGATTTCTACTTTGGACTGTCTAATTTTATTATATCTTTAGGAGGATATGTGTGGGTGTGTATACATATATATTTTAACTTAGAGCATTTGATCAACAGATATTGACCAAATGTTGGTCAATTTGAGAGGGAGAGATCACAATATTAGAAAGTAGATTTATATTTACATTATGCATACTTTTACATTTGGGAGTGGTATCAATGGAGTTTCTGAATGTCTCCATTTAACATTGAAGTATGTTGGCTGCTATATGGTTTTTTAGAAGCTTCTTTGTTCTTGTTTTTAGATGTGTGTCCTTTCTCGTTAATTGATTACGGGATACTTTGGCTTACAGCTTCCTGTGATACAGAGGTCAGCACTGGGGCAGCTGATAGGGCCCTTGGCTTTTCTGGGCTTGTCTGCTTATCTCAGCCTGCCTTACAATTAGGATTCATCATTTTCTGTGAGTGGCATGAAAAAGGCACTGCTTTAGTATGCTTCTTAGCCTGTAAATGGTCTTGATATAGACATGGAAACTTCAAAGTTATGAATGATAAATAATCAAAAAGTTGAGAATTAGAGTGGATTTGCTTTTGTCAGTTTTTATTAGCAGTTATTGTAATGTGTTCCTACTAAGTACCAGCACTGTTATTTTCTAAGTGCCTACAATAGGACACAGAATTTGTCATAAAATAACTATGATCTTGAATTTAGGCTGCAGTTAAGTCTTGTAACTGGGTTCTTTAGCCAATAGATTATAATATAGAATGCAGTTTATTGCAGTTTGTCTTTTGCTGAATAATAGGTATATTTTTTAAAAGATGTACTACCAGATGGAGATTTAATTCACATTTACTAGTTCTTGACAGGTCTTTTCTTTTAAAATATACTTTTTGCAGCATTATTCTGGTTCCTAACTGAATTCATTTAATTAATATTTGAGTGCTTTTGTGATCCAGGTACTGTATTGAGGACTAAGAATACAGTAGTGAACAAGATTGGCAGGAGGTACTGGCAAGATTGGCATGGAGCAGAAAGGGTGGGAGGTACTGACCAAAATCTGTAAACAATGAGCATAAATGGTAAGTGGCATGAAGAAAGTAAGACTGGGTTATTTGATGGGGGTAGGGCGGTGGAGTCTTAAGGTTAGGATGGAGAAAGTGTCTCTAAATGATATTGTACGTAAAGACCTTAATGATCTGAAAAGGACAGCTTGGTTGTTTCTGGAGGTTTTGGCTTTCCAGGTGAAGGGAACAGAAAGTTCAAAAGTACTGAGATGTGAAACTTGGCATGGCAGTTTAGCTTTTATTCCGAGTCTTAAACAGGGGAGGGAAATGATGAGTTGCGTTTTTAAGATTAATCTGGCTCTCTGTATCTGTCGATTATATGAGCCACACCTTTTCAGGCTACTGAGATGCTCAGGTAAGTCTTCCTCTTTAGTTGGGGGAAACAAGGTCTAGGGAAAAGAACCTGTAGATGCCCCTAAAAAGTGACTTCTTGGAAATAGAATTAGGAATGTGTTGGAGCTTGGGTGGTGTCAGAAAGAAATGGGAGGCAATGTGTCCTGGTCCTGCCCCTTGAAGGCTGTAGGATCTTGTCCTGCCCTTCCCCTTTACACAAATAAAATAGGCTTCTAGTGTAGTAGTAAAATATAAAAAGCAAAAAGTAGATGTATATAAAGTAAAAATTTCCTAACCATCCTGCTAAAATAGTTATTGGCACATTGTTTATTACTCTAGATTTTCTCACCTTTAAAAAAATGATTTTAGATTTTTCTCCTTTCTAGATTAGTATGAAAGAGGTTCAGACTACATTTTTCATTTTGTCTTGGGTAGCTTTTTCTATCTCTGCACATACAGAGCAACTTTATTTGTTACATGGGAATTAACATGATTTGTTTAATTCTCTGTTGTTAAGTATTTGGTCTTTTCCACAGTTTTTCAAGGAAATGAACAACACTGTAGTGAAGATGCTTATACATATATCTTTTTTTTTGGCTGTGCCATGCGACATGTGGGATCTTAGTTCCCCAACCAGGGATCGAACCCATGCCTCCTGCATTGGCAGTGCAGAATCTTAACCACAGGAGCATCAGAGAAGGCCTTGCCTTATACTTCTGTAGTATAAATTTCGAGAGCAATATTGAATTACCAAGTTAGTCTTTAAGGACATTTCAAATTTTTAAGTTTTTTTTTTTTTTTTTTAAAGCATATTCTCCTCCAAAAAGTTGTGCCAAGACTTTGTGAGAGTGATGCCAGATAGTGATCCTGTCTCTGAACTTCTCTAGCTTCCTTAGGTGCCAGCTCAGAATAGTTAGTATCTGTCATCCCCTCTGGATTCAGGCATGTGAGGTGAGAAAGAGCTTACTGCATAGTGGATGTGCAGACAGAAGCTCCTGGTTCAGAGCAAGACGTTTGGATTAAATGATCTTTAACTCTGGGCCATTTTAGCTCTGACTAAATGATTTCAAGTGTCATTGTTACGTATGACAAGGTAAGGACTCTGGAATCAGATAGAGCTGCCCGGATCTGAGTCCCATTTCTGCCAGGTAGAGTGAAATGGATGTCATTTCCACCTGGAGTACCCCCTGAGGATCACGGTGGGTAATGTGAATGGGGTGTGTGCAACGTATACTCATTCTCATGCTAGATAGTAGGCATCTAGTACATGGTAACTCCTGCTGATGATAAGGTAAAACAGCTTTCTGAAGGAGGAAGGCTTGAGAAGGATGGGCTCCCTGTCTACCTCACTGTTCTGTGAAGGCGGAAGCACCTCTCACTTCCGCCAAGATCGATTGCCTTCAGGGTGGTGTGGCTGTGGACCACCTGTCACTTCTGCATGGTTGCTGACTCCCAGTCGGCGCCAGGACATTGCAAGTCCTCATTGCAGAGTACCTCTGACTTACTCTCATTGTGTGACTGTCTGTGGACTTCAGCTGCGGTTTTCTTGTTGTCCTATTAAAACATTTGATTATTTTTTGTTAGGTTACTATCTCTGTTTGCATCTGTTTGTAAGCTTTGTTTCTGTACTAAAACTGAACTCCAACGAATGTTATGCTGGAAAGTTCATGTACTTTAAAAATAAACAGATGTAGAATCTGGTTGTTTTACCTATCAACCTGGATATTCTTGGGCAAGTAGCATTGTTTTCCTGTGTCTCATTTATTTAAAAATTAAAGCATGGTTGGAGAAAGGTATTTAAAATCTTTCTGGGTCCTTATTATAGATTAAATGAGATAATTTATATATAAAGTATCTAACACATCTTACAAAAACTAATTTCTTTTTCTTCTTCAAAGGCAGAAAATTATGGCTTACACTTTTTTTTTTTTATTTCTCATAGTCCTAATGTGTTACTAATATTCAAAGCTAGTTGTTTGTGCTTAATATACAATAACAAAAGAAAAAGTGGGATTGAAAATGCGTTAGACTAGAAGTCAGGAGACCTAGGCTCATGTTGCACATTGGCTTTTACCTGGTTGTATAACCCTTGATGAGTCTTTTGATCTCTAGTCCACATCATGTCATTTTTGAGTTGTCTGTGAAATATTCTGTGGAAATATACTATAATAAGTTTTCTGAATAATGTATTTAAGCAGAGTATGTCACCTACAAAAAACCCCACATGCTATTGTTTTCACAGTTACTCTGTATATTGTATTGTTGAGCCAATTAATTTTACTCAAGAATTATTTTTTTTACTAGGTTGAAGTGTTGTGTAAGCTGCATCAATGGAGCACATACAGGGGGCCTGGAAGACGATCAGCAATGGTTTTGGATTCAAAGACACGGTGTTTGATGGCACCAGCTGCATCTCTCCTACAATAGTGCAGCAGTTTGGCTATCAGCGTCGGGCATCAGATGATGGCAAACTTACGGACCCTTCTAAGACAAGCAACACTATCCGTGTGTTTTTGCCAAACAAACAAAGAACAGTGGTACGTGAACATTCCTCTCTGAAAATGTAGTTGTTCATCACCTATAAAAACATTACAGATCATGTTGCCCATCTTATAGATAGCAAAAAAATCTTCACTGTCACTTAGAGTCTTTATCTTTAATTTTTATTTTAGTGTTTTGTAGTTGCACCTTTTTTTTTTTTAAATTGAGGTATTGTTGACTTACACTGTTGTGTTAGTTTCAGGTATGCAGCAAAGTGATTCCAGCATGTATATATGCTTCAGATAACTTTCCACTATAGTTTATTAGAAAATATCGAATAGTTCTCCATGTTAAACAGTAAATCCATGTTTCTAATCTGTTTAATGTATCGTAGTTTGTTAATTCCACACTCGTAACTTATCCCACCTTTTTCCTCTCCTTTGATAATAAGCTTGGTTTCTATGTCTGTGGTCTGTTTTGATTTTGTATGTAGATTCATCTATTTTTAGATTGCACATTTAAATGATAATTACATAATATTTGTTTTTCTCTTTCTGACTGACTTCACTTAGTATGATAATCTTAAATGACAGTAGTTCATTCTTCTTTATGGCTTAGTAATTAATACATTGGTGGACACTGGGGTTACTTCCATGTCTTGGATATTGTAAATAGTGCTGTGAACACTGGAGTGCATGTACCTTTTTGAATTAGAGTTTTTGTCTTTTTTGGATATATGCTCAGGAGTAGGATTGCTAGATCATATAGTAACTCTGGTTTTTGTTTTGTAAGGAACCTCCATACTGGTTTTCATCATGTGTGCACAAATTGTCGTTCCCACCAACACTGCAGGAGGGTTCTCCTTAGAGTCTCTGATAATCGACTTTCTAGTTGCAGGTTTTATTGCTTTATGTTCTCTTCACACCCCCTTGCTTTTTTCCTTCTAGCTCTTGGCCTTCCTTCGATTTAGTCTTGCCTAGAAGGTCTTTTCTGACAATTCACCTAAACAAATAGTACATTTTAAAGAAAATATTTACTGAAATATAGATGATTTCCAATATTGTGTTTCAGGTATATAACATAGTGAATTATTTATACATACACATAGATCCAGCTTTTTGATATTCTTTCCAATATAGGCCATTGTCGAGTGTGGCGTAGAGCTCCCTGCGCAGGCAGCAGGTCCTTGCTAGTTACCAGTTTAATAGCAGGTGTGTATGTCAGGCCTGGTCTCCCAGTTTATCCCTCCTCCTTCCTACCCTCTGGTAACCACAGATGTGTTTTTTATATCTAACTTTCTGTTTTGTAGATAAGCTCATTTGTACCCTGTTTTTAGATTCCACGTGAAAGTGATATCATGATGTTTGTGTTTGTCTTTCTGTCTTCACTCAGTATGGCAATTTCTGGGTCCATCCATGTCACTGCAGATGGCGGTGTTTCATTCTTTTTTATGGCTGAGTAATATTCCATATTATACCACATCTGTATCCATTCTTCTGTTGGTGGACATGTAAGTTCCTTCCACGCCCTGGTTATTCTAAGTAGTGCTGCAGTGAATATTAGGGTGTCTGTATCTTCAGAATTATTTTCTCCAGATATGTCCAGGAGTGGGATTGCTGAATCATAATGGTAGTTCTGTTTTTAGTTTTTTAACGAACTTCCATTCTCTTCTTCTCAGTGGCTGTATCCTTTAACGTTCCCCCTAGCAGTGTAGGAGAGTTCCCGTTTCTCCACACCCTCTGTGGCATTTATTATTTGTGTTAGATTTTTAAAATAATGGCCATTCTGACTGGTGTCAGGTGAATATAGTACATTCTTAATGGGGATATATTTCAAAGGGTTCTTTAAAAAATCTGTGTAGACATTTCTGGCTAATTACAAACTTTGTTCAGTGTATTAAAGCAAACTGTTCATTTAAATTTTTTTGATATTACAGTCAAGTATATAGAAGAAAATAAAATTACCTGGAAAAAAATTATTTTAGTACATTTCCTAGGTTTGGGGGCAAAGCTGGAGGTAGCCTAGAAACCACGCTTTTTTCCAAGGCCCTGGACTAACCAGTTATTCCTGTGTAGCTGCTGACACAAAATCTCAACTTTTCTAAGAAATTACTGCTCAGAAAGCTTCCTCCTATTCTGGGAGCGGGGCGCAGAACACCACCTGGTTGAAACCGAAAAGGGAAGCCGTGCTAATTGTGCTTGGCGTGTGACTGTCACGCACCCATACGGTCCGAGAGAACCTTCGTTCAAAACGTCCAGGCGTCATCCTCTCCCACCCTCTGTTCTTTGTGTAAAATTGGCACCTTGTGTTGATTCTGTGTACCTAGGTGAGGAAAAGCTCCCAGGTTGGAAAGCACAGTCCAGAGTTGTCTTTCTAACAGTTCCACTCTCTCCCCTTTACCAAGACTTCCTTTAGCTTCTGTGAAACCTAAAGAGCCTCCCAGTCCCAGTGTTGTACATTAAGGTACATTTTTAAACTGAAGGCAAAACTCAAAGGCATTTAAAGTTTGAGTAAATTTATTTTTGTTCCTTTTCCTGGAAATGAAACTTTAATGACTGGCAAAATTAATAATAATAATAATTACTTATTTCAGCAGTAATATTTTGTTTGCAAAGTGAGTTTTCTCATTAATTTTCTGACCTTAAGAAAGTGGGAAGGGTGAATGTGTCGGGGAGCTGAAGACCCTCTGGTACCCCTGTCTTCTCCACCCCCGACTACCCATTTGCCTGCAGATGGGGGACCTTAGTTTGGTGCAATAGTTAAGTGTATAGGCCTTTTAAGACAACGAGGCCCAAATTTAAATCCCTGTATTGCCTTTTATAAGCTGTATCATGAGAAGTTATATAATATTTTGAACCTCTGTTCCTGACCTTTATGAAATGAGGCTTATGCTAGCTACAGTGACTAGTTTCACAAGTAAAATGGTAGTTATGATAATTTCTGGAGGAGGAAATGACAACCCACTCCAGTATTCTTGCCTGGAGAATCCCAGGAACAGAGGAGACTGGTGGGCTGCTGTCTGTGGGGCCGCACAGAGTTGGACACAACTAAAGCGACTTAGCGGCAGCATGCTAGTTCCTAGTGTTTTCTGCATCAGTGTATCCTTGACAGCCTTCAGTAGAGCACAGCTGGTGGCTGGGGGTCACTGATTTGAAAAGCAGGACACCTGCAGCAGCTTTTGAGAAGGTTCCAGCCGAGAAAGTTAGTTCCCCTTGTTTCTTTGACCAGAGCTGGACTGTGTGCCTCTGATAGAAACACTCACACACTAAGAGAGCCAAGACCTGTATCAAATACTGTGCAGTAGCACTTTGAAAACTGAAAAGTGATATCTGTGATATTTAATCATCATTAGAAGCCAGAGCTCTAAGAGTGAGACATTTTTTTACATATCCTCTAATCCAGTGGGGTTCCCAAACATGGCTGGTACCAGGGTACCCAGCTCCAGGGGTACCTTGAAGGAGGAAGGCGTCATGTGCTGGCCGGCTCGGTCAGTCAGCTGTTTCTAGTCATCCCCAGGTTGCTTCACTGCTGGAGCCCAGGATGACTGTCATAATCACTTAGTAGTGGGCTCCAGAGATTAGTCAGACCGTAAACTGATCACAGCATGTATCCATGGGGAGTCCAGAGAGAAGAGTGACAGAGAGGGTGTGTATCTGATAAGTAACTTTTAGAATAATTAGTAGTTGCTTGGTTTTTGAATTTTTCTTGTCATTTGTTTTGTAAACGTGTCTCTGACTTACTGCTGATGCTTTTTATTAGATGAGTGATTGGATCAGAGCTCAGGCTCTTTAATTACCATTGAAATCACCTCAGAAGCAGCGTAAGCTACAGATTCCTGAGCTTCATTCAGGATGAACTGAATCAGATGAGTGTGTTAGAGGGGGCAGGCTGGGAAAATACATTTTCCCAGGCTCCTCGGATGACTCTAATACCAGCCACGTTTGGGAACCCTGCTGGATTAGAGGATATTTAAAGAACTGTCTTGCTCTTGGAGCTCTGCCTTCTAATGAAGATTAAATATCACAGATATCACTTTTCAGTTTTCAAAGTACTACTGCACAGTATTTGACACAGGTCCTGGCTCTCTTACTGCGTGAGTGTTTATTACTTTTCATTGTCCTCATTCTTGGTGTCCTCACAGTTCAGATCAGTCTCTCCCTTTACTGAGTTGTTTTGTTTCTGAAAAGCTGGAAGTTGCTGGGATATTTCTAAGGGTATCACTGCTTCAAGAAACCTTAACAGCAAACTGTTGTGAAACATTGAAGATGAGCAGTTGAAAATGTTCTAAACTTTTAAAATAAAACATCACTTGCCTCTCTCTGGAAAGGGGCTGGATTGGCTACTGTCAGCCGTCACATTTGCAGCAGAAGGACTCCACTGTGGGCAGTTTGCAAGCGCTGCAAATCTCAGCCTGCTCACCCTGTTGCCCATTCTGAGTCCAGTTGCCTTACTTTTGGTAAAGTTTATTGGCTTTAAAAGCACTGTGTAGGGCTCTTACTGAAATGCTTAAAATCTCAGTTGAAATGTTTATATAGCTGCTGATATCAGCATGCTGGGTGCTCACACTTTCTCTTAGGCTCTGAAGTGCCTCCTGAGCGCCTGAGGACTGGGCACATGGGGGTATGAAGGTGTCTATACTGCTGAGACTACCTGGACGGGTGTGCACACTTCTTAAACCAGCAGTGCTGTTTACCCTGCCAGCAGGGCAGGGACTTTATTTCTTCTGCTTCCTACTTGCCCCCCTCTACTGCGCAGTGTATGTGAGATGGCTTTTTGGTTGGGAAGATGAACCATTTTGTTGAAAATAAGTTGAAATACAAATTTTTGATGCAAACAACTCATGTTACAGATTGGATTGGTTAATTTTTATTTCTGGTGGATATTTATGTTTGCATGAATATTTCATTGACTCAGACACCTTCAGTCAGTTCAGTTCAGTCGCTCAGTCGTGTCCGACTCTTTGCGACCCCCTGAACCGCAGCACACCAGGCCTCCCTGTCCATCACCAGCTCCCGGAGTTTACCCAAACTCATGCCCATTGAGTCAATGATGCCATCCAACTATCTCATCCTCTGTCATCCCCTTCTTCTCCTGCCCTCCATCTTTACCAGAATCAGGGTCTTTTCAGATGAGTCAGCTGTTTGCATCAGGTGGCCCAAGTATTGGAGTTTCAGCTTCAACATCAGTCCTTCTTATGAACACCCAGGACTGATCTCCTTTAGGATGGGCTGGTTGGATCTCCTTGCAGTCCATGGGACTCTCAGGAGTCTTCTCCAACACCACAGTTCAAAAGCATCAGTTCTTCAGCGCTCAGCTTTCTTTCTAGTCCAGCTTTCCCATCCATACATGACCACTGGAAGAACCATAGCCTTGACTAGATGGACCTTTGTTGACAAAGTAATGTCTCTGCTTTTTAATATGCTGTCCAGGTTAGTCATAACTTACCTTCCAAGGAGTAAGCATCTTTTAATTTCATGGCTGCAGTCACCATCTGCAGTGATTTTGGAGCCCAGAAAAATGAAGTCAGCCACTGTTTCCACTGTTTAGCCATCTGTTTGCCATGAGGTGATAGGACCAGATGCCATGATCTTAGCTTTCTGAATGTTGTGCTTTAAGCCAACTTTTTCACTCTCCTCTTTCAGTTTCATCAAGAGGCTCTTTAGTTCTTCACTTTCTGCCATAAGGGTGGTGTCATCTGCATCTCTGAGGTTATTGGTATTTCTCCCGGCAGTCTTGATTCCAGCTTGTGCTTCCTCCAGCCTAGCGTTTCTCATAATGTACTCTGCATAGAAGTTAAATAAGCAGGGTGACAATATACAGCTTTGACGTACTCCTTTTCCTATTTGGAACCAATCTATTGTTCATGTCCAGTTCTAACTGTTGCTTCCTGACCTGCATACAGGTAGAAAGGGAAGGTTGATCATATTCTCTCTCCCAACTACTGTCTCTTGGGGCTTCCCTGGTGGCTCAGTGTTAAAGAATCTGTTTGCCAATGCAGGAGATGGGGTTTGATTTCTGGGATGGGAAGATCCTCTGGAGAAGGAAATGGCTACCCACTCCAGTATTCTTGCCTTGGAAATCCCATGTAGCCTGGTGGGCTACAGTCCATCGAGTCAAAAAGAGTCAGAGCCAACTTAGTGACTAAACAAGAAGAAACCACTTTCTCTTAGGGGGGTAAGAGCTACTTTTTCACATGCATATGACATATATAAACATATATAGGTTCCCCGCCCTTTAAATAATCTCCTTGTCATTGTTCAGTTGCTAAGTCCTGTGTGACTCTGCAGCACCATGGACTGCATTACATCAGGCTCCCCTGTGCTTCGTTATATCCCGGAGCTTGTTCAAATGTCCATTGAGTTGGAGATGTTATCTAAACATTTCATCCTCTGTCACTCCCTTCTCCTTTTGCCTTCAGTCTTTCCCAGCATCAGGGTCTTTTCCAGTGAGTTGACTCTGTGCAGCAGATGGCCAAAGTACTGGAGCTTCAGTCTTTGCATTGAGTACTGGGAGTTGATTCCCTTTAGAATTGACTGGTTCGATCTCCTTGCAGCCAAGGTACCCTCAAGAGTCTTCTCCAGCACCTCAATTCAAAAGCGTCAATTCTTCAGCAGTCAGCCTTCTTTATGGTCCAACTCTCATACCTACATGACTCCAGGAAAAACCATTGCTGTGACTATTTGGACCTTTATTGGTAAAGTGACGTTTCAGCTTTTTAATGCGCTGTCTAGATTTGTCATAGCTTTCTTTCCAAAGGAGCAAGCATCTTTTCTTTTCATGGCTGCAGTCACTGTCTGCAGTGATTTTGGAACCCAAGAAAATAAAATCTGTCACTGTTTCCACTTTTCCCCCTTGTATTAGCAATGAAGTGATGAGACTGGATGCCATGATCTTTGTTTTTTGAATGTTGAGTGTCAAGCCAGCTTTTTCACTCTCTTTCAGCCTCATCAAGAGACTCTAGTTCCTCTTCACTTTCTGCCATTAGTGTGATATCATCTACATATCTGAGGTTATTGATATTTCTCCCAGCACTCTTGATTGCAGCTTGTGATTCATGCAGCCCAGCATTTCACATGATGTACTCTGCATGTAAGTTAAGCAGGGCGACAATATACAGGCTTGATGTACTCCTTTCCCAGTTTGGAACCAGTCTGTTGTTCCATGTCCTGTTATAACTGTTACTTCTTGACCTGCTTATAGTTTTCGCCGGAGACAGGTAAAGTGGTCTGGTATCCCCGTCTCTTAAAGAATTTTCCGTAGTTCGTTGTAATCCACCCAAAGGCTTTCTGCATAGCCAGTGAAGCAGAAGTAGGTGTTCTCCTGGAATCCCTGTGCTTTCTCTGTAATCCAGACAATATTGTCAGTTTGATCTCTGGTTCCTCCGCCTTCTCTGAACTCAGCTTGTACATCTGAAAGTTCTTGGTTTATGTATTGTTGAAGCCTAACTTGAAGGATTTTGAACATAACTTTGCTAGCATGTGAAATGAGTGTAGTTGTATGGTAGTTTGAACATTCTTTAACATTGCCCTTCTTTGGTATTGGAATGAAAACTGACCTTTTCCAGATGAAGACTGACCTTTTCCAGTCCTGTAGCCACTGCTGAATTTTCCAGATTTGCTGACAATATTGAGCGCAGCACTTTAACAGCATCGTGTTTTGGATTTTATTTATTTTTTGGCCACACCATGTGGCGTGTGGGATCTTAGTTCCTAGTTCCTTGACCAGGGATCCAACCTGTGGTCCTTGTGGTGGAAGTGGAGAGTCCTGAGGTGGAGAGTCCTAACCACTGGACCACCAGGGAAGTCCCCCTTTTAAGATTTTAATAGCTCAGCTGAATTCTATCACCTCCAGCTAGCCTTGTTTGTAGTAATGCTGTCTAAGGCTCCCTTCACTTTACATTCCAGGATATCTGGCTTTAGGCGAGTGACCAGACCATCACGATTATCTGGGTCGTTAAGACCTTTTTTTTTTTTTAATAGTTCTGTGTATTCTTGTCACTTCTTCTTGATCTCGTCTGTGTCTATCAGGTCCTTACCTGTTCTGTCCTTTATCTTGCCAGTCCTTTTGTGAAATGTTCCCTTGATATCTCCAGTTTTCTTGAAGAGATTTCTATTCTTTTCCATTCTGTTGTTTTCCTTTGTTTCTTTGCATTGTTCACATAAGGCCTTTTTATCTCTCTCTGCTAGTTTCTGAAACTCTGCATTCAGTTGGGTATATCTTCCCTTTTCTCTTGTGCATCACTTCTTTTCTCAGCTATTTGTAAAGCTTCCTCGGACAGCCACTTAGCCTTCTTGCATTTCTTTTTCTTTGGGATGGTTTTGGTCACTGCCTCATGTACAGTGTTACGAACTTCTGTCTATAGTTCTTCAGGCACTCTATCAGATCTAATCTTTTGCATCTAATATTACTCTTTGTTTTATTCTGAAAAATATTTCCCCCCAATTAAAATGACCCCCTCTGACAGGTTGTTAGAAGTAATATAGTAACAGCACAGTGTGACACATGCTGATGTTCAGTGCTTTATTCCAGCACTCGCCTATTGCTAGGCATTCTGTTGGTTTTCTCTGTGTATGTATTTGCCATTATAGATGACTCTTGAACAACTTGAGGGTTGTGGGTGCCCTCCTTGTGTGCAATTGAGAATTCAGATATAATTAATATCAGCCCCTGGGTCTGTTGCTCTGTATTTCCTGTCCCGTAGCCTTTGGATCAAACAATCATGACTCATGTAGTGCTGTATTATTTACTACTGAAAAAGTCCACGTGTGAGTGGACCTGTGCAGTGTAGAGCCATGTTGCTCAAGGCTCAGCTGTCCGAGCCACGCTGCCATGCATTTTCTGCATACACCTTTACAGACCGATGCCTTTACCCTGTGCTCACTTTCCAAGGACTGTGCTTGCACAGCCTCTGTCTGTTCTAATGGTGGTCCTTCGTTTGTAGGTCAATGTGCGGAATGGAATGAGCTTGCATGACTGCCTTATGAAGGCTCTCAAGGTGAGGGGCCTGCAACCAGAGTGCTGTGCAGTGTTCAGACTTCTCCACGAACACAAGGGGTAAGAACTTGAAAGTCAGCCAGGTCTTCCTTCATACTAGTAAGGATCTCCTGCCTTCAGATAATAACTGTTTCCATCAAACAAAAAAAAAGTACTTGCTTCCTATTCAGTAGTGAATATTTGAATATCTTGTTTATAAAGAGACAGCTTAGAAAAGTAAGATACCAAGAACTTGAAAATTTTGCTTAAATATCACATTGGAAAATAAAATACATATTAGGTTCTGGATACCGTTTCCACAGAAGGAAGCAGTAATAGCAGATGGTATGTTTCTTGAGAGTAAGGCTTTTGTGTTTGCTCTAAGTCAGTTAACAGAATGGGTACTTAGAAAGTGTTTGCCTTATTATTTGTAGTTAAAGAATGTTGTCTGTAAGAGATAAACTTTTACAGTTCACTCATTTTTATTCAGTTTTACTGAATCCCAGCAGTTTGACAGACACAGGGCTAAAAGATGCAGGAGAATTTGCTTCAGGGACGATCCATAGGACATCCTATTTTTAATGATGATGGAAAGATAGAGACATCACTTCACAGTTGAGGAGTAATAATAATAAATACCCTGAAGCATCAGAGCTGTCTGTGACCATCCGTTACCTGTTACTGTACCCCCAGAATTCTGGGATGATACCTTAACTTTCCCTTCTTTTTTCTCTTGCATATTTTATTTTTCAAGGGACTCCCTAGTTTGAGAGAGGAGCCTAGGGAATGAGTCTGCTCAGAAGGGTGAGCATAAAGTCATCTGTTGATGATGCTCCTTTCAGGTTCGGAGGCTTTTTGCTGAAGTGCAAATCTTTGAAGCAGATGCCAGCTCTGTCTGGGTACAGTTGTGGGTTGGTCCCCAAGCTCGTGCATAGAGCTCCTTAGAGACTGGGGCGCTGAGACGGGGTGGGGGTGGGGGACTAGAGCCCCACTTGTCCAGGCACGTTTGTTTGGAGCCATCCTCAGTTCTCCCTTGGGTGGAGGGCACCTGAGGGCTGACCAGAAAACAGCACTCACCCTCACCTTCTCCACTAGGGCGAAACGGGACTTAGAGTCATGTTGGGTTTCCTGTACCCTGTTCAGGGAATTAAGGAATGGATTGTTTCCTGTTAGGTAATCAGAGAAATGGCTCTGAAGGCTTCTTGTAGGTAAAGGGCAGAAGTTTGAATGGTGCTGTGTTTGCAGTGTTCTCTCCCTGTCCGAGGGTCTTCTTCCTTCAGAAGATGGGCCGGGTGGACTGCATAGGACACAGGAAAGGAGTTGGGCATTCATTTTTACTTATATGTACCTGCTTTTTTGTCTTGTGTAGGCACAGAGGAATAGTTTCAGAGTAAATATTAAGATACTTAAGTCTTTCCTCAGTTTATAGACTATAAACAGTTTTACAGAGTTGAGACCATTACCAATAGAAAAAGTGTATTTCATTTGTGATTCCTTTCCACTTATTTATTTTTGAGAATGAAGTAGGCTAGTGAAGGTCAAATTTTGCTACTCTCGCAATATTTTTAACCCATTTTATAGGATTTTTATAGGATTCTAATGTTTAAAGATGCCCAATTTATTGCAAATTTCCTTTATTATGAGATTGTTTTATTGCATTGTTTAAAGAAAACTTTATTCTAAGAGTACCCATTTGGAGTCTGACTGACCTTGATTCCAAATAGGCCCTAAACTCTGTGTAGCCTTGAGCCAAGTTACCTTCTTAGAGCCCCAGTTCTCTTATTTTTAAGATGGAGGTAAGAATGCCTGCTTTATGGATTTGTTGTATGAATTAAATGTTAGTGTTGTATGGGGCTTTAAGTTTTATGTTTATGTAGCATGAGCCAAATGGTATTTATTATTTATTGGTATTCAACTCTTTTACCTCATTTAAATATTTCCCTTTCGTGTTATGCTTTTTAAAATCCTCTTTAGTAAAAAAGCACGGTTAGATTGGAATACTGATGCTGCCTCATTGATCGGGGAGGAACTTCAAGTGGATTTCCTGGATCATGTTCCCCTCACAACACACAACTTTGTAAGTGGCGGATCTCTTCTCTCTTTGTGGTCTGTTGGGTGCTTTGGCCGGCACAGTAGGAATTTCTTAAAGATAATAAGCGTGTATGTTGTTGGATTGTTTAAAGCTATGCCATTGTTTACAGTAAAGCAGTTTAGGTTTCACTAGATCACAGATGCACTTCAGTTTCTGTGTATGAATTTTATTACACATGTTGGAAGTAGGATTCTCCATTGTAATAAAACCACATAGAGGCCAAGGAGGAAAATATTTTATTCAGCATAATTTACACACCTGTGTTCTTGTTCCAGGCTCGGAAAACCTTCCTGAAGCTTGCCTTCTGTGACATCTGTCAGAAGTTCTTGCTAAATGGATTTAGATGTCAGACTTGTGGCTACAAGTTTCACGAGCATTGTAGCACCAAAGTACCCACTATGTGTGTGGACTGGAGTAATATCAGACAGCTCTTGTAAGGCATTGTTCTTTTTTCAAAGAATATAAGGGGACAGGGAGGTATAAACCTCCTTGGAGGATGCAAATTGTATATTTGACTGACAGGTCTGGGTTTTAGACTTTCTAAGTGAATTATCATGATCTGGAAATGATCTACTTTAGAAATATGACAGTTGTGAAATTAGTAAGTTTTAGCGTGGCTTGTATACAACTTTCTAAAACGAGCTGAGGGGACTATTAAATAGAGATTGATATACTGTGATTCTGTGAGACAGAGAGCACGGTGACATGAACAGCCCCCAGGATTTTTACTAGGTTGCTAGTAGACACTACTCTGTATTGTATTACATAACGCTGAAGAGACCTTCTGAAGAGAAGGAGTAGTGAGCATGGTTGGTGCTGTTTTCTTCTCCTCAAACTAGGGATCAAATGTTTTTACAGTAAACCATAAACACATATATCCCTCTGACAACAAGCCAGTTACTCAAATATATTCCATATAGACAAACTATTTTTTTTTTAGTAAGGTTTAAAGAAGTATTCCAGAGCACCTCTTAAAACCTGTGAACAGGGATAGGAAATATCAGAGTTGCACTTTACCCCTTTTTGAGGGCACTGGAAGAAGTAAGGGCTGTTATCGTTAAGCCACCACAGGAGCATCTGTTTCGCTTTCGTGGTGGTCACACGTAGCTTTTGCAGAGAGAACCTCTCTCTTCTGCAGAGAGAACTTTGTAAGTAGCACAGACTTTGGAGCCCAGCAGACACTGGTCAGAATCTCACTGTTGTCATTAACTAACTGTCATTACTTATGAGCCTCGGCTCAGTCTGTAAAAGAGGCATTCCCCTGGCTGCCGCATTCTTGTGAGCCTTATCTGTGATAATGCGTGAGCTTTCCAGCTCTGAGTGCTCATCTCATGGCAGGAAGATGCCCAATTGATGTGAATTCACTTTTTCTTTATGTGTGACTTTTGGTGCTGAAGGTGATCTGCCCTTCATGCTTCAATCTTACCATTTGTGCATTTCTGAGACAGAATGTTTCTAGAAAAGCTATATGATGTAGGTTGCAAAGTGCCTACTATGTATAGATTTTTTAAAAAACATTATTTTGATGTAGCTGGACATTAGGCCAGTATTTCCTAGAAATGCACACTAGAGACTCTGTGTTCACTGGCAGGTCAAGGTTGTTCACGTTCTGTGGTCATTTAAGCCCAGTCACTTAGTTTGGTAGTCCATCGATGGGCTCCCCAGGCGGCTTAGTGGTGAAGAATCCGTTTGCAGGAGACCTGGGTTTGATCCGTAGAGAAGGGAATGGCTGCCCACTCCAGTATTGCCTGGAGAATTCCATGGATAGAGGAGCCTGGCGGGCCACAGTCCGTAGGGTCACAAAGAGTTGGACATGACTTGAGCTACTTACACAACTTACTCTAGGTAGCCTAAAATGGTCCAGGAAAATGTGACTAGGAGAAGCTGAGTTTGGAAGGCCAAGCAGGCTGACCGTAAAATCACTACCACAAGTCTGTAAACCAGCCTTTCTCTGATTTCATTTAGATTGTTCCCAAATTCCACTGTTGGTGATGGTGGGGTCCCAGCGCTGCCTTCTTTGACGATGCGTCGGATGCGAGAGTCTGTTTCCCGGATACCTCCTGGGTACTTTGCACCTACTGCTTTTCTTATGGGAAGTTGTACTGGGGCAGGTGGGATTGAAGGTGTGACACAGAGGATTGGCGTTCCCTTGGGTTCCCTTCTCTCTCCATGTAAACTCGGTGCGGCCTCTGTGGACCTCCACCTTGGTGTTAGAGCAAAATGTAGAACTTTCTCTCTGTAGTCCTTTAGTTCTTAAATTCTGGAAAGTGACTGAATACAACTAATCCTGGTATCCTGGCATGTTCCTTATATCTCATTTGTGTGTTTTGTGTTTGTATTTTTTATTGGAATGTGATTGCTTTACGATGTGTTATCCCCTCCCTCTTGGACCTCTGTGCTCCCTCTCCCACCCCCTCCCTCTTGGTTACCATTCCGCTGCGCTGAGCTCTGTGCTGTCTGGGAGCGGCCCACTAGCTCTGTGTTTTACACAGGGTAGTGTATACATGTCAGTCCTAATCTCCAAGGTCATCGCACCCTCCCCTGCCCCCAGTGTCCACAAGTCTCTTCTGTACATCTGAGTCTCTAGTGCTGCCCTGCAAATAGGTTCTTTGGAGCCGTGATTCTAGATTTCACATATATGCGTCAATATTTGACATTTGTTTTTCTCTTTCTGACTTACTCTGTATGACAGACTCTAGATCCATCCACATCTCTACATATGACCCTGTTTTTTTCCTTTTATGGCTGACTAATATTCTCTTGTATATATGTACCACATGTTCTTTATCCATTCATTACATTTTAAAGACTTGGAGATTTGCCTTTGTCAGTATACAGTGAGCCTCAGGGAAAGGGTCCCAAAATGATACACGGTGATTCAATAAAAATAAAACCCTCGACTTTGAAATGCTTATTATGGCCTTGCATTGCTGAAACCATGATGTTTAATAAACTGCTATCTTGAAAAAATCTAATTAGATTTTTAATATAAATAATCCATTTTAATGTGCCTGTAAGTTTGCACATAATCTGTCTTTATTCTGTTTTGCAACTTTAAAATCAGAGTTTTGTTGAGTTCACATGCCTCATTCAGTTTTACACATGAATTTGGAACCTAAAATAATTCTACATCTTTGCCCAAAATATCTGACTTTAATTTATATGTAGCCATATAATATTTAATGGCCTTTGTAAAACTAACATGGAAATTATTCAAGGCAGCATATCTTAGAATAAGGAATTTGTATTGAAATGATACTTGGATGTATTAGTGTATGACCTTTATTTTTCTTGATAATTTAAAAGCATGTCTGACTGAAAAATTGTACTTGCCTCTGAATATTTAGATAGAAGAAACCAGGCCTCTGAGGCCATTCATGTTGAATTGCCTGGAAAGACAATTTTTCAAGGCCGTAGAACAGTTTCTCTTAGAAAAAGTCTTTCATCCCTTGAATTCATGCATGGTGCTAACCTGTCTGAATAAAACCCAGAGTAATCTTTTGAGCAAATAATGACAGTGTTACGCTGAATGCATGTTCCCAGTTTGGCTGGTAGGAGAGTGGCACTGGGTAAAAGAAGCCAGTGATAAATGTCAGAGGTATTCAGATCTAAAAGCCAAAGTCATTGTAATTGATTTTGTGAGCTGTTTGCAGGGAGGGGATGCCCATGAGGAAGGTGCCCATGAGGATGCCCATGAGGAAGGGCAGGCGCGCTGGGCGGGTCTAGGAGTGTCAGGAACCTTCCTGCAGCTTTTCTCATTTAGTCTCGAAATGAACCTGGCAAAGTTCCAGCTAGCTTAATTGTAGAGGGTAGTGTTGAGATGGCCTAAAGTTTTGGAGTATTCTGTAGACGTGATTTATTGAAGTATCATTTCTTTGTACGTGAATGCTGAGCACATATATTATTTCCTTCTTAAAAATATGCATGCAGAGGCACCTCAATAGGAGAAAAAATTTAAATGGTGCATATTTAGATTGATGAAAGAAAGGAATACTTTTGTCGAAGGTCATAGTGTAAGTAGGATTTGCCCCGAGGATGTTAATGAAGCAAGTAGTCGAAAGACTTTCCATTCCAGAGGCCTGAGTGTCAACCATGGACTTTTCTTTCTGCTTGTCGCCTAGTTCCCAGCACAGATACTCCACACCCCACGCTTTCACATTCAACACCTCCAGCCCCTCCTCTGAAGGTTCGCTCTCCCAGAGGCAGAGGTCGACGTCCACACCTAACGTCCACATGGTCAGCACCACTCTGCCTGTGGACAACAGGATGATTGAGGTAAAAGGGCCCCTTGGGGGTGGTGGAGAGCATCAGTCAGTCGTTCGGGTGGGTTGACAGTTGTGTCAGAGAGTTTTGGGTTTCTAACCTGGTAAAGAATGTTGCAGCAGTTTCTCAGGCCCCCTGGACTTTCTGAATTTCTTATTCACTATATCCTCAGACTAGCTTAATGATCCTGTTGGTATATCATTCAAATGGAGAACTGAGATTTCCCGAAGAGATGTTAACATTTGAGCTCATTCTTTCCAGGTTAGATAGGAAGAGAATTTCAATGAACTAGTGGATAAGTTACAATAAAGAGTAGTGTTTTTTTGGAGGGGGAGTGGGGAAAAGAAAATAATAGTGATAGAGGACTATGAACTCTCTGAAAGACTTTGTGATTTTATTTAGAAATAAAAGGGTGGAGTCCTAAGATTTTAATAAGCAGGTATTTAGGAATATATGAAAGTGCCCAAAGCTAGTGTTTTCAAACTGCTTTTTCTTTTCTTTGCTTTATGGTATGTTCTATTTGTTTGGTTTGCTTTCTGGTTCATCTTTATTAACAACTGAATACACTTAAAATACTTCCTTTGTTCTTTATTCTTCTTATTTCTCATTGCTTTGGACTAGAATAACAGCCTGAATGCTTCTCCCAGGGCGTGGTCCAGACGATTTTGTGTGAGGGGAAGAGTAGGTATTCTTCTTCATGCCTTTGCTTTCTTGTAAACTAACAGGATTTCTTAGACTGTCAGACAGTAGACTATCAAAAATGAAACAATCCCTGCATTTTATATTTCTCATCAGACTTGCTTTCATATTTTCTTTTTTGGCAGCAGCATATTTAGGAGTTTAAAAAAAATACTGTATGTGGTACTGTTGATAGGTGAAATCAGTTTCTCAGGTGGGATTTTGAGTCTAAGGGTATTAAAATTGTTCTTTAAAAATAATTTTCAACCAGAGACTAATGCTAGTTTATTTACTTCTTACTGAATACCATCACTGTTCTATTTACAACAAAATGTGTCAGTTTGGTTGGTATACCCTGAAATTCCTTTGATAAGAGGTTGTTTTTTTTTTTTTTTAAATCAGAGACAACTGTGCTCTGCATTCTGAATTGGTCCTTGAAAAAGCCTCAGAGCCACCTGCGACCTCAGACACAATTCACAGTACTCAGACCTCAAGTCATTTCTGACATACTTGTCCTTTGAATGTGGGGTCTAAATTGGTCGTTTAGGGCCACTTCGGTTATCACACGATTACTGTGAGGTTGTGTGTATGCAGACTGTGAATCTTACTATTTCATTGTGATGAGCCTCGATAATGATACAGTAATATACCAGTTTTCTTCTGATATATAATCTGTTCTTATATAAACACTCTTAGAGTTAGAGGGAACATTAAAAGTGAAAATTTTTGAATTATAGGATAACTGGCACATCGGTTGTGCTTAATCCTGTCTGTACTTCAGAAGCAGAGCAAATTTTTGACTCCTGTGTTTTAAAAATTTGATTCAGCATTTTAAAAGTACACTTTCTTGCTTTGTATAAATCATCTTAATTCTCTTTAATATTTAGATTTCAAGATGACATGTCAATCCAGCTGTAGAAATTAGCACAGAAAAAACAGGGAAGAAAATTACTATGGCATTAAGAAAAAATCCTAATGCACTGGGCATATAATTCTGGTCAATAAAAATACGTTGTGCCATGCTTTGACTGAAAACAATAGATTAGTTGAATAAGAAAACTACAGCTGCTAAATATTCTACTGAAATTCAGGTTATTTTTGGACAAAGGATTTTCCACCTGGCAGTCATCTTGTCATTGCTAAGAGCATGCAGATTCCTAGATTTCCCACCTTTTCTCCCAGACATACTTAGATCAGTTCTAGTGGTGGAGGGGCTTGGGAATCTGTGTTCTTACATACCTCTCCAGGTAATTCTGAAGACTGACCGGTTTTGGGAACCCTAGAACCAGGCTTTATTGGTAAATTCTGAAGATGGGGCTGCCAAAGTGGGGGGGGCTTGGCCTGTGATTTCTCTCATGCATTCTGGTAATAATTCTGTGAAAAAAGCACCTTGTGGTTACACAAGGAGAACAGAGTAAGACTTCCAGAGAAATCTCCTTTTCGAGGATATGGGGTGGAGTAGTTTTATATTGTTGTTATTTATGTACTCCAAGTGAGCGTTTTAGAAAAGGGATTTAGGCCTCATGGAAGGGCCCTGTGATTTAAACTGTTCCAACTAAATAGTTTCTAATAAATTCTAAGGGTAGCCTTTGACCTCTCACCTGAGTAGAATGTAACTCGCTCCTGAGCTTAGCCACAAGCTCTGAGGAACGCTTTGTGATGAAGGAGCTCCTGGCTGAGGTCCTTGGGCGGTTATTCTTAGTTCTGTCTCTGCCACCTGCTGGCCGTGTGGCCCTTGCCGTGTCCCTTTGCCCGTTCACGTAGGTTTCCTCACATGTAAGATGTCGGCGTCAGGCTCGGGGATTTGCGGGGATCTGCGGTTCTTCCAGCTTTCCATGGTGTTGGGCTTGGGTAAAGCGTGTAGTCATGGGGCTTACTCTTCGCAAGTCCAGCTCCTAGAGGAGTGAGAGTGAACTGGGCACTGAATCCCTTGCTAAAAATATTATTTGTTTTGAGCTTCAGTGGAGCAAGATCCCCAACCATTGGAAACCTCTCAGCTTGATAGTAACTTTGTTAGCCTTCCTTTAAAGAGTACAGTCTGCTGTGTGCATTGCTTTCTTCAGAGAAAAAAGAATGTCATGTCCGTCATGTATGAGAAACTAGCAGCAGTCCTCCTAATATGTGATGATGATGCTGGCTATAGACATTTGATGAACTGAATCAAAGAAAAGTTAGTGTATGTGATGAGACCTTTTGTGATTTAGAGACTTTATAATCTCTTTTGCTCTTGTAAATCCTTATCCTCCCTCTCCCTCCCCCAGAGAACATCTTTCCTAGGGCAGAAATTGACCAGCTTTCCTTTTCTGTTTCAGGATGCAATTCGAAGTCACAGTGAATCAGGTACTTGCTTAAGTCATTTAGCAGATAGTAATGGGCTGTTTCTCTTTATGTTGTTGTATCTTCTGTTGGCTTATCCGTGAGTGGATCCTGTTTGTCTTGTCTATTAAGGCTCCCCTTCAGCTTTGTCCAGCAGTCCCAACAATCTGAGCCCAACAGGCTGGTCACAGCCCAAAACCCCTGCGCCGGCACAGAGAGAGCGGGCGCCGGGCTCCAGCACCCAGGAGAAGAACAAAATTGTGAGTGCACCCACAGCACCCCCTGCATGTCCGGGTTCAGCAAGAAAAGCCTGGTCAGAAATGAGGATGCCGTTCATTTTAGGGGTGGGGAACGCTCATTAAATGAATATGTTATACATGTCAGTGCTGTTTTTGGCATGCTTGCACTGGAAAACTTGCTGGTTTGTTGCAAGGCAGGACACAACCAAAATAGTATTTTCTCAAATGACAAAAAGTAGACTTATAGTTAATATGTATTTTTAAAAGATCTGGGAAAGGACGGAGTTGGGTTGATCCTTTCTTTGACACCCTTGTTAAGTAGACTTTTAACCTTTCATGAAATATATTAATGATCTGTGCTTGCTTTAGAGGCCTCGTGGACAGAGAGATTCGAGTTATTACTGGGAGATAGAAGCCAGTGAAGTGATGCTGTCCACTCGGATTGGGTCAGGCTCCTTCGGGACTGTTTATAAGGGCAAGTGGCATGGTAAGTTTGGTACCCCCTGCCAACTACCAGGCTGAAGTCCTCTTTCGGTCCAGAGAGGGCCAGGCGGGCTCACAGCAGCACTGTCCACGGCTCCCTGTTCTGTCTTAGTGACATTGCATACTGTGCTTTGTAAGACTCAACTATCTATAATTGGTACAAAAAAGTTCTCAGGATAGCTTGAAATAGGTGAACAAATTTGAGCACTCCCTCTCCCTCCCCCAGAGAACATCTTTGTCAAATGTCACAGTCTCTTCTTTCTTATAAATTGACTCGATAGTGTGAACCTGGGAGGGACATGCTTTGAAGCTCCTTAAATGTGTTTAAGAGTCTGTTATTAGGAGGGTCAGGCACTCCAGCAAATTAAAGCTGGCAAGGCCCTTAGAGATTTTACATGCAGAAAACCAAGGTCTCAAGAAGGGGAACTGACACACCCATGGTCAGTCAGTCAGCACAGTAAAACCTGGAGCCTCCTAAGGCAGATTTTCTTTGCTCTGCCCTGGAATTGGTTGTGGGAACCTCTTGTCAGACAGGAATGCACAGACTGTATTCTTGAATCTGTTTGGAGTTGATGTTCTTATTTGAATGGAAACACTTTGTCACTTGGAAGAAACTTTCTATTTTAAGGTCTGTAGCCACAGCTTCTTTATTTTGGCAACACACTTAACATTTCTCTGTCAGGCTTTTAATGCCTTTGCCTTTAGAATGTCAGCAGATATTTTCTTGAAAATGCTACATGTTCCCCAAAAGACATCTCTCTCAATTCAGATTTTAATAAAAAAGCAAGCAAGCAGACCAACAGAAGCCCCACAAAACCACACACAGAATCTAGAGTGCCTGCGTTTCTACTTTGGATGCCACCGTGTTTATCTTTACACATTAATGGACAAAGGCTGAGAGAAGTCATGGGCATAAAATGCGTTGGAGCATTAAGATTCAACTTGTTAACAACTGAGAAACACTTGCAGCATTGCAAGTAGCTTATGTTCATTAACGTGGGGTTTCCACTTAGAGCTAATCATCTGACAAGTCTCTGGTTGTTTGTAAGAACTAGGAAAGGACTGAATATTTGTAAATTACATGAAGGGGGATTCCTTTCCTTTTGAATAGAGCATCTAATATACTACTGGCTTGCCTACCAGGTCACCAAGAAATTATACTATTGCTGAATATTTTGTAAATAGATGTCATAAATGTCTTGGTGATCCCTTAGAAAAGAAAAACACAGTTTTGTGAGATAGAGTGCTTATATCTGAGACAGCAAGCCTGTAAGTAATTGCAGGAACTGGAGCAGAAAATACTTCTTTTAATGCTCCCATTAAGAGCATTTTATTATTTTTATACATTTTAAAGCCTTCCCCAAAAGCCAGTACATGCAGTTTAAATGTTGCCCAAATTTAAACCTCCTCCGGTTGAGCACTTTTATTGGGGGTTCATAATTTTTTAGAGCATTAGATTTGCCACAGTGCTGCCATTGAGGTTGTAGATTTTCTCTCAGTTGTGAACTTGTAGATTACTGTAAGGAGGTATATTGCTCTAGTGTTACTTCCATGAAGACAACCATTAGAATGTGGATAACATCCAGTGCTTTTAAGAGTCTAGTTTTTCTGAGTTAAGAGTCTCAAAAGTCAGAGGAGTGAGGAGCCATGGACTTTCAGGTCAGCCTCTCAGAAAGCCAGCTGTGGTCTGCAAATGAAGACGAAGAAGGAGAGGGTCAAGGAAACCATGATTTCTAAACTGATAAGAACAGATACTACACTTGATCTTAGCCAAAAGGCCGAGAAGCAGTGAACCATGATTTCTAGAGTGAATGTTTTATGCTGTGCTTGCTTCCTCCCCACCCGCCAGTGCTTTTCTGATTCCTATATATAATATAATGCTTTATTTAGTTCCTTAAAAATTACAGCTGTTTTGGTGATTTTTTAGTGCTTTTTATTTTACCCAGCTGCAGAACAAAAATAAAAATTAAAAACAGAAAAGGTCTTGAAGCAGCCAAGGTGGAGGCCTCAGACCCGTGAACAGAGTCTACTGACTTCACGTACAGAAGAGAGCCCAAGAGCCGAGTCTCCTTTTGAGCGTGAATTTGGGGTCTCCCAACTGCAAAAATGCATTAAAAGCGATGAAGACAGCAGCTGAAGCTGTCAGAGTGTTAGCAGCGGGGTCATTCTGCCAGTGAGAAGAGGCAGCAGATCCCCAGACCGAGGACACTCGGGGGTCATGTGTGAGGTCTGCGACTGGCAGAGCCATGCGTGGGGACCCCCGGCCCCGCCTCAGGCTGAGCCTCGTCTTGACTGAGTCGTATGAAGAGGAGGAATGGGGTTCACTTTGTTCTGGAAAGCAGGGCTGTGTGCAGTAGGTTTTAGACAATCCCAGATGATTAAAACAGGGGGTTAATTGAAATATAAAAAGGGAAAAAACCCACTTCAGATTCATCAGTGATGACAGCTCTTTCTTCTTCAGTGGTGGGTGCATCATACCAGCTTAGTGTCTTATTAAACCCATGATAACCAGGAGCAATGTATCTTAGAGCTTGTACCACGTTTGCCTCTGACATTCCTGTGGAGGAAAGTGCGAAGTTCTGGTTTGATGACTAGCACCGCGTCACGCAGTCCCTCCGCAGTGGCCCCAAGCCACTGAGGGGGCCGTGGTCCTGACGCGCTTGGCCCCGCGGACCGTCTCAGTGCCCGGCGTTCCCTGTCAGAGGCTGTGCCCGCTTCCAGCTCCAGAGCCTCAGACAGGCAGCTTTTCAGTTCATGACTTGGCTTGCTGACTGGTGCCGCTGAGAATCCACTCGTTTCTTCAGCCAGTGTTTCCTGAGCATTCTAATACTGAGCATTTCTCTAAGGGCTGGGGCTGAAGCCCTAAGCAAAATGGAAAGAAATTCTTTCTCTTACGGAGTTAATATTCTGGTGGGGATAATGACCAAGGAAAGCCCAGTAGATGGTGTGTGCTGAGTGCTCAGGAGGAACATGGAGGAAGGCAGGTAAGGAGTGACAGGCCTGGTTCCCGGTTGTCAGTTGACTGGTTGGTGGGGAGTCCGTGAGGGAGTGGCAGGAGGGAAGCAGCGGAGGTGGAGTGGGCCGCTCCCCTGGCCTGTCCTAGGGGGCTTCTGGGGAGGCATGAGGGAGAGGCTGGGGCGGTCAGGTCAGGCTGTGGGCTCTGAGGGCCCGGAGAGACCCTGGTCTCACTGGGCGTGGCGGGCGTCCCGGACCCTGCCCGGCCTTCAGGAGGCTGCCCAGCCTTGGCCTGAAGACTAGTGACAGGAGCTTCTGAGTGACCTGAAAACTTGGCCTCGCTCTGGGCAGTTCCCATCAGCAGAGAACTGTTCTGTATGGGAGTTGAAATCGGTTTTCCTGTCTTGTTTGTCCATTGCTCCCAGCAGACTGGATCCCTGTGATGGCCTCCTCGCGGGCGCACAGGTGAGGGCGGCTGTGACCCAGACTGTGGTCCCAGCGCACAGCCTGCTGGCAGGGCCGTTGACCTGAGCTGGCGGGCCTCTGGGCCCCGTCTCCCCATCAGCGATGTGCACGACCCGGGCTCGTGGGTGACTTCCCCCGCGCGGTCACACAGACCTGGGGGCTGGGGTTTGGACTGAGAACGATGGGAGGACTTCAGGGGGCCGTGACGGTGGAACACAGACAGATGACTGTTTCACAGGAGTCCGTCTTGTCCCAGCTCCAGAAAGTAGAGCCTAGAGGGGGAGGGTGCTCAGCTGAGCGCAGGTCGGGGGGCGTCGCAGGGGGCTGGCCCTGGCTGCTGCTGGCTGACCTCTCTGAGGTTGCCAAGCTGATCAGTCCACCACGGGACTGCGTGTGCCTGGATGAGAGCCGTGAGAGGGGCAGGGTCTGCACGACTAGGCCCAGCACCGGGAAGCGGTTCCGCTGAGGGCAGCCCGCCAGCCCGCCCCGCCCGGGTCTTCGCCCGCATCCTCCCCAGCCTGTCCCCATGCGACCCTGGCCCAGCCCGCCCTGCCTCTCCGACTGCCGCTGAGCCAGTCCCCCTTCACGGGGTTCCGCCTCTGTCCCTTCTCCCGCCCTCCATCACCTCTGCCTGCTCCGAGCCTGGGCCCGTGCTCAGGCTCCCCCAGCCCCGCTCCCGTCCTGCAGGTGTCGCAGCACACGCTGGCCTTGCCCTGGCATCTCTCTCCTCTCCCTCACCTCACTGTGTTCCTGGGGTGCCTCATCCAGAACTGCCTCTTCCCTCGGCTGACGCCCCGTCTCCCTCCGCAGACCTCCATCCTCTGCCGACATACTCACTCCCCTCTTGTGTCACCGCCCTCACCCGCATTCTGTCTTGGCTCAGATGCTCCAGGGTGGGCAGGTACCCAGAAGACTCTTGTCCCTCTGTCCGGCATCAGGGGCTCGGGCTCGGGCTGCGCGGGCTCCCAGCTCCATCTGCCCAGGAATTGAAGGCAGCTCTGAACGCAGAGCGTGTCTCTGCCGTCCGCAGGCAGCCTGGGCCCTCTGCAAATTCGTGTGGCAGGAAAAAGGTTAAGAATCAGCATGGAAGCTGCTGTTAGGTGATTTCATTTTCAGATGATGCAGAGATCGCAGGGCAGCGGCCTGTCATGAGAACCATCTCTCTACCATTTGGCGCCCACCAAAGTGAAACGAGTACCCCAGCGGAGGTGCTGGGGTGCTGCTGAGGGCACGGGCTCAGGATGTGGGGGAACTTGGTCACCTCCGAGGTGCCGCTGAGCTGGACTCCCTTTGTCTGATCACTTGTCCTGAAAGTTGAGGTCCTCATAGGGCTTCAGGCAGTTTATCATCATCACTATTATAAGGACGACGTAACTTCTGAAAGTGGCTTCTAAATCAGTCATACCTATAAAGTAGAATTGCTCTGTGGATGTTTCTAAAGGTGTGTGAAGAGTGAGTGACTGCATTTTCGTTAGAAGTACAGCTGTGAGACCGGGGTTCTAACCCTGGTGGTGGCGGTTTTGGGCAGTACACCTTGGCCAACTGACCAAACCTATGTGCGTTGCTTGTAAGGTGAGGCCAGCAGTGCTAACCTCATAGAGTGGCTGTGAGGATTGAAGGAGGTGATAACCTGTGAAAGCAGACATGTCAGGGTGTAGTGAGCATCAGCAGTCATTGATAGGATTGGTTTCTAATGGGATTGAAGGCAGAAGAGCTTCATTACAATACAGATCTTTGAGTCTGTGCAAGGGAGCTTCTGGGCTGTCGCTGGCCTGCTCCTGGGACCCCCCTCTGGCCCCGGAGACTCAGCATCTGCCGGGCGGTTCCCATCCCATCGCTGTCATCCTCACGGGCCCAGGCTGTGACCGTCGCCTCACCACCGGGGACGCCGGGCTTGACAGGAACAGCTGAAACCAAGCTGGTTCAAGGCCTCGGGCGGAATTTGAAGGATAGTGGTATAAAACCTATTTTTTTTTCAGCCATTTGAATAATTCAGAAATTGGCATAGTATTTGTTCTATCTGTGTAGGTCTGTGATTATTTTTTTTTTTTTGGTCTTTGATTTTTGAATAAGGGATTCACTGCCTCTTCCTCAGACAGGTGTACATGAAAAATGAAGTTAAGATCAGCTGCACTGACTATAAACTCATTTGCAGGAGACGTTGCAGTAAAGATTCTGAAGGTCGTGGACCCCACCCCAGAGCAGTTCCAGGCCTTCAGGAACGAGGTGGCTGTCCTCCGGTGAGTGGGGAGCGGACCTTGCAGCCCTGTGGAGGAAGCAAGCCCTGTGGGCGAGACCCGCCTCTGGGGGCGTGCTCCCGTGGGGCTGCCTTTCAGGTGGAAAGGAGTGGAACCTTCTTCCAGCTCCTGTGTTTGTTAGGCCTTGAGAAGAGCTGCTCTGACGGCACCGCCCTTCAGCGTCAGCCTCTGGGCTCACCGCCTCAACAGCTCAGGTTCTGTTGCTGGGTTTTAGTTTGGCATAGGGAGAAATAGATTCTGTTTCCACATTTATTTCCAAGCACTCTTTATAACCAAATGGCCTTAATTTGGACTTCAAAACCATCAGCTTCTAAATCTTTTTGGAGTCACTATTTAGACTTGTAGGAATAGGCTGAGAGGATGGGCTCCATGGATGAGGGGTCCTTGTGACCCCTGTGGGGAGTTCGGTGAATCTGTGCTGCTGGAAGGGGACGTCCTCTCTGCCACCCAGGCCAGCATCGAGGGCCGCTCTGCCAGCCCAGAGCGGCAGCTGTGTGGGAGCAGTCTGCCGTGATTGCTTTGCGAGCCCAGGGATTGTGCGGCGGCGTCAGTCACACACAGGATGCGCTCGGGGGCAGGATGGATCTCCCTGTCTGCAGAAGCAGAAGCTCTGAGCCTTTTGTTCCTCCCTTCTCCAGCAAAACCCGGCACGTGAACATCCTGCTTTTCATGGGGTACATGACAAAGGACAACCTGGCAATAGTGACCCAGTGGTGCGAGGGCAGCAGCCTCTACAAACACCTGCACGTCCAAGAGACCAAGTTCCAGATGTTCCAGCTGATCGACATTGCCCGGCAGACGGCTCAGGGGATGGAGTGAGTGAATGGCTTGACGAGGAGGTCTGGGGCCCGTGCACCAGCTTGTCCCTAAATCAAAACCAAGATTAGGGAAAGCCAAGTCTGTTAAGTGGTTTCTGTGATATTTTTGCGCAGCTGGAAGTGAACCTGAGGGGTGGACTGAAGGAACAAGAAAATTGGGTTTCTTGCCTGAGCTGAGTCTACCTGCTTGGAGCTCAGATTCAGGTTCCAGCTGCTGCCCTCAGAGTCTGTCAGACACCCCAAAACACAGAGTGGGCCGGCGGCTTCTGGGGGGCACCATGCCTCTGAGGTGTAGCTGTCCAGTGTGGTTTACCCACCTGGGTAGGTTTATCAGATGTCACTTTTCCAATAATTTGTTTTCCTTTGAAGATCCCCAAACTAAAGTTGTGCTTGCAAGGAGTTTATAAAATCTCATGTCGTGCTTGTAAAATTCATATGGAATTTGCATGGTATATGTTTTCAGAAATGACTAGTTAATTTTTTAGAGATGAAATTCACGCTTATAGTTCAGGTGTTGTTTTTGTTTAGTATATTCAGAGTTGTGCAGCCATTTACCACTATCTAATTTTAGAACATTTTCAAGATTAATTAGATGGAAGTGTTTTGTGTCTTGCTTCTTTGCCTTGGCATGTTTTTGAGGCGTTTATGTTGCAGCATGTTAGTACTGCAGTCCTTTCTGTGGTTGAACAGCCCGTTGTACAGATACGGTTTTACTTGTTTATCAGCTGATGGGTATCTGGGTTGTCAGAATTCCCTTTTGAATAAAACTGATGCTAAAAGACAACCCTCCGTTTGCGCTGTGGCCTCACTTTCAGGTCTAAGTCCTAATGGGGAGCATGCTGAACCAGGGCAGGACCAGTTCCTGAACGTACTAGGGGGGCCAAAAAGTTCAGTTAGGCTTTTCTGTAGGATGCAACCAAATAAATAACTGAACTAACATTTTGGCCAACCCTATAACTCCTCATCTAGGAATCAGGCCTTCCAGGTGGTTTGCTTCTTTGATGTAATTTAAAGGAAGCTGCTTTTTACCAATGTCTCTCAAACTGGTTTTAATACTTTTATTTTCCCTTCACAGCTATTTGCATGCAAAGAACATCATCCACAGAGACATGAAATCCAACAGTATCCTTTGGTGGTGGTTTCATCAGACTGCTCAGTTCTAAATTTAGAAGACTTTTAAAGTTTACCTCAGCAAAAGTGACTTTGGAAAGAATTCCACCAAAGTTGAGATACTTGTTTTGGTTATGCTTGAAACAGGCCTAATTTAGAACGCTGTTTATTACTAAATTTAACTTGGGGGAAGGGCCTTTTGTCTCTCATGTTTATTTCTGGTTTGTGGATTATATCAGGTCAGAAAGTAGATGCAAGCCGAAAGTTATAAGATTTTTAAAATTACTACTTGAAATTGTCTTTCTTGAATGTACAGAAATGGTTTCCTTAGAGACTACCGTTGGAATCAACCCTTTTCCAGGCTTTAATGTGCTTTTGCAGAAGGGAAGTGGATAAAAGCAGCCTTCACGCTGTAGGCATGAGGTAGACAAGGGTGTACCTGCCCCCCTCCCCCAGCCTCTCAGAGGAGTGGGCTCTATAGCTCAGCTTTGCTTCCTGGCCAGTGGGAGGCACAGCAGTTGTGGTGGGTTGGAATTTGGGATGTTACCTACTTGGGGCATGTGTCTGAGGCAGGAAATACCTGTTAGTGGTGGGTTTGGAGGCCAACACATCACACTACGAAAGCAGACAGCAGATTCTAAGCAGGTATGAATTACTGGGCATTGGCAGATGGCACACGTCGGCCTTAAACCACTTGACTACTTTACCCGGGACGGAGGCAAGTTTGGCTGTGATTTTGAAGTCACCATGGTACCTGTTCTCGTGGGAAATGTCTGGAGGCAGATAGCACTCAGGACTGTGGGGTTTCCCTTGGTCATGGGAGGGCAGGGCGCAGGCCGAGACGGTCAGCAGGCCGCGGGCCAAGCTCACAGTCTTGGGGCATGAGGCCCTGCAGGCTGTGGGGAGCCCTGGCTGCCCGTGTGGTGGGGAGGGCAGGGCTGGCCAGGCCCCTCGCTCTGGTCCCTCAGCTCCCCCCAGAAGTGCTGCAGGTCCAGCGCAGGGAAGGCCGAGAAGGTGGTGCCAGGGAGAACTTGGGGCAGCTTTTCAGGAGGAGCAGGACCATCCTTCCTAACTAGTGTCCTTAACGAGCATTGAGATATATTTCTCCACGAAGGCCTGACGGTGAAAATCGGCGATTTTGGATTGGCCACGGTGAAGTCGCGCTGGAGTGGTTCTCAGCAGGTCGAGCAGCCCACCGGCTCCATCCTGTGGATGGTGAGGCAGCTCGGCACCCCGGGCGGGTGGGGGGCCGGGTGCGAACGGGCAGCTCCCGGGCTGCCTGGAGGGAGCTGGCGGCACAGCGCGGCATGGAGCTGGGTTCCCGTCCAGCCCTGAGCTCAGTGGGGGCCCTTGGGGTGAGCTGCCGCGGGGCTTTTTGAGGACAGGACAGGCACACCCAGCCCCGGGGCAGCCCGGCTCCCGGACAGTGACCGGCGCACTTGGTCCCGCAGGCCCCAGAGGTGATCCGGATGCAGGACAACAACCCGTTCAGCTTCCAGTCTGACGTGTACTCCTACGGCATCGTCCTGTACGAGCTCATGACGGGGGAGCTCCCCTACTCCCACATCAACAACCGTGACCAGGTGGGTCCCTGGCGCCCACCGCCGGCTCTGGGAGGGCAGGCCGCCTCCCAGCGCAGGGTTGGAGGTGCTCTGCTCACCGCCCGCCCTCCCCCGCTCGCTCCCCAGATCATCTTCATGGTGGGCCGCGGCTACGCCTCCCCAGACCTCAGCAAGCTCTACAAGAACTGCCCCAAAGCCATGAAGAGACTGGTAGCTGACTGCGTGAAGAAAGTGAAGGAAGAGAGGCCTCTCTTTCCCCAGGTAAGGCTGGCTCCGGGCGCTCGAGTGGGTTAGAGCGGGTCTAGTGACATGGAGCGGCTGGATGCGTGTCCTGCGCACGCTGTGCGCGGGGTGGTAAGGGTTTGAGGCCTGAGGGGAAGCTGCTGCAGGTACACCCGGCGCGCCCCCTGAGACCGCCCTGGTGCCTTTCAGATCCTGTCTTCCATCGAGCTGCTCCAGCACTCTCTGCCCAAGATCAACCGGAGCGCCTCGGAGCCCTCCTTGCACCGGGCAGCCCACACCGAGGACATCAACGCCTGCACGCTGACCACGTCCCCTCGGCTGCCTGTCTTCTAGCGGCCCCGCGCCTGTGCCCGGGCTGCTGGCGGGCAGGGTGGTCAGCAGGCACCACCACCTGTTCCCTTTCTGTGGGGACGGAGCTGGTCTTCCGAGAAGCTGCTGCTAAGGACCTTCTACACCACTCAACAGGGCCTTAACTTCACGTTGCCTTTCCTCCCCTTTCTGTCCCTGGAGGAGGAAGCCATTCGCCAGCTGGTTTGCCCTGCTCCCCTGGCGGCCCCGGAGCTCATGAGCCGACCTCCTCCAGACGCACCCGTGGCTGCTGATGGTCACACACTGGGCCCAGCTGTCAGCTGCAGGAGTGTCTTTGGGGCAACAAACGTGCTCAGAGGGGAAATGAAGGTGGCAGGCAAACCAGCCGTGACGTGGGACGTGTGGATTCTCTAAGTCAGCTTCTAGGAGGGACGCTATCACGGAAGGACTTCTCTGCAGATACCTGGTGTGGCGCCAAACAGGTAGTTTTGCACATAATGCACCAAACGGCCCAGGGCTGTTGGGACCGCGGCGGCCTGGACGAGCCTGCTTTGGTACTAGGGACTTGACTTGGGGACACGTCCTTTTCCTGACGGGCTCCAGCGCTGGGCTTGCTGACCAGAGGTGCTGGGCCTCCCCGCCCCGGGGAGCAGTCCTCAGCCTGCCGAGTCGTCTTCCAGGAGCGGCCCCCGTGGGGCGGGGCCTGGCCAGCCTTGTCTCTGCATCACATCGTGTGCAAGGAAGCCAGGAACACAGGTTTTCTTGATAATTTGGGTTTAATTTTGTTTTTATGCGCCTGACAAAATACAGTTATTCAATTATGTTATTTTAATAAAATAAATTAAATGTAGGTTTAATGGCTGTTTCCTCCTCTTAGAGTAAATCCTGAGCTCACAGATCGAATTCCGTTTGTTCAGCCTTCCGGAGCAGAACTCCAGAAGCGGGAAATGGGCCAGAGTCTCTGCCAGAGTGAAAGGAATCCAGCCTCTGTTCACCCTCCACTAGAAAGATAACTGTAGGAATTACGCAAAAAAGCACTCTAAACTCAGGTAAAGAGTAGACTTTCTTCTACCCATACTTGAATACAGTTTATAAAATATCTGGTATCTACAGATGTCTATAAAAATAGATAATTCAGGCTTGGAGTGAGTTCTGGGGTTGATAGTATTTTAAGCTCTTAAAATCACAACTAATGAGAGACTTGTATTAGGTTTTTCTCAGGACCACTGCTGGGTCAGAACTAGAAACTGTTCTTAGGTGCTGTTAAATTTGTATGAAAGTTCAAATCAAAGCCAGCTGACAGAGGAGAGAGTGCCCAGGGCCCTCGGGTCCCAAGTCGGCAGGTAAAAGCCAGCCCTGGGGCATCCGGGCAAGGCTGTCACCTGCCTGGTGACGCTCAAACCAACCCTACACGTGGGGCCGTGTCTGCTCTGCCCCCTGCTGCTTCAGGAGCCCCCCTCAGAGGAACGCCAGCCACAATGCTCCTGCCCTGCTGGGGGCACCGGAGAGCCCTGCGGCAAGCTGCGTGCCAGAGAAGTAAGGTGTGCAGCACCCACGCTGTTCTTCTAAAAGCCGGCGCTAGGGGTGCTCGCCACGCCGGAGCCTCTGACCCCCAAAGGGGTCTCCCCTCAGAGTGCCTGCTGCTGCGGGGGCGCCGCACGCTGGCTGTCCGTGGAGCCCGAGCCACGAGGCCGGTCCCCTGAGGAGCGGGAGGGGCGACTACAATAGCAACTAGAGACGCAGAACCACATCTACTGTTAGGTTATTTTATATCCTTCACTCTCCCCACGGCTGTAATAACGGAGTGGCTGAGACCCAGAGGAGTGCGGCCCCCGCCGCCCCGGGCCACCCTGGACGCAGCTCGGCGCACCCGGCGGCAGGAGGCTTGCCGCAGAGCCGCCGAGGAGGGCGCGGCTGCTCTTCAGGTCTCGGACGGCTCCACCCCGGACAGGTGCATGAAGAGGTCCCCGAGCTCCGTCATGTCCACGTCGTCAGTGCTGGGGGCGTGCCGGCTCTCTCGGCTCTCGATGAAATCCCAGAGCCGCACAGAGTTAAAGAACTGCAAAGACAGCCAGCAGACAGGCCTGGTTATTGCTAACAGCAACGCGCAAGCGGAGTGGCTGAGATTCTGTTGGCTCCCCTGTGGCCAGTGCCCACAAAGTCCTCACCCGCACGGTGCCTTCGGAGCTGAGCTGTTTCCGTGGTTTCTCAGGCTCTGCCAGCCGCCCGTCAGGGTAAGCGTGACGGTAAAGGCATTTGCTTCCAAATGGACAGGTCCCTTTGCCTTGCTCAAAGTATTTACAAGCTTTTTTCCTGAAAAGCAGAAGAGGATCATGTCAAAACCTGGCTGTAGACAAACCACTCCTCGCCATCTCTGCCGGAGCAGGGTCAGCCTCCCATCAGAGGTGGTGACAGGGAGGCTCAGAGATGCTGGAAGCCGATCTCCACGCTGGATGGTGGTGCACCACGGCGCGGAGTCTCACGCACACGGGGAGCCACGGTGGCCTCCGGGGCAGCAGGCCTGACCACACCTCCGGCCCAGCTGATTCGTCTCTGCCCAGAGTCCCAGCACTGGCTCCACCCGGGCAAACTCCCCGCCCTCCCAGCCAGCAGTGACGTCAAGGTGACCACAGGAGCCTGGACCTCGGTCGCTGCCTTACGGGTCTCATTCCAGTTTCCCTTGGGCCCACCCTCCAGAGCAGGGCTTCTTCACTCTGTGCCACAGACCCCTGCTCGGAACAGTGTGTGTCTACAAAACGTAGTCTGAAAGTTAAACTTCCCCATCTTCAGTTTCTAGCTACAGATCTCTCTTAAAAACCCCTGCTCATTCACATTCCTTGCTAAAATGAAATCTGGCTTATATGTGGTCCAAAGTTATCCCAAGATGAAGAGGTGCCCAAGAAGCCGCAAGGTGTCACCCGAGTGGGCAGTAAAAAAAAGTTTTATCACCTACAAAAAAAATATGTGATGAACCAATGGTCAGTTCCGTGCCGTGGTGCACCACCATCCATGTAATACTTACATGTGAGAATAAAAGCCTCTAGCATTTTTGGTCTGTGTCACAATATTTAGCCCTTAATTGGAAGACGGTCTGAGATTATTTTCTGTTTTATAGATTTCCCTGAGCCGAGGTATATGGCCTCTGAGCGTAAGGTCTCGCAGGTAACGGTGTACGTCCCTGTTGACTTGGTGAGACCGTGCTGACCTCCCGCGGCAATTCCCCCAGGGTCAGAGGCTGGAAGCTGTTCGGTGTGTGCCGAGTACTATTCTAAACCTGATGCTAGTGCAGACAGAACATACATGATCTATGTGCTAAAAGCCAGATAAAAAGTTCTGGACTACCTGTTAGAGTTACTTGCACCATGGCCTTCCATTGGTTTGAATATGATTAGCTGAATATCATTTGAATATGATAAGTTTGTAAATTATCCAAATGCCTGGCTTCTATTACAAGTCTGCCTACCTCTTGATACTGCCAGTGTTCCTCCGAACTTCAGGAGGCTTATTTGCTAGCAGAAGAGTACCTTACTTGGTTAAGTGAGTAATATCCCACATATAAACACCCTTAGAGCACTGTCCGCTATGTCATAAGTACCCAGCAGATAGTTCTGTCTTCTCACCTTTAAAATGGAAGTTAACCACTTTGGGACGATACAGGTTTACATTATCCATACTACCAAAAGTTTGCCATTTCCATAAATTACTTCACATGTTCTACACATGTGAACACAATGGCCCCCTTATTTCTTTTGGAGAAAGTTAAATACTCATTCTTTTGCTTTGCATTAGCAATTAAATATTTTCAATGTAAGATAACTGGATATTACTTTACTGTTTTGTCTTACACTTTACGTTAAAGACCTATTAGGTAGACTGGGCAACTGTGCTTAATTAGTTGATTGAAATAGTGCTAGTAAGATCCTAAAGTATGTGTTGGTTGGTTGGTTTAGTTGCTAAGTTGCATCTGACTCTTCCGACCCCACGGACAGCAGCCCATCAGTTTCCTCTGTCCAGGGATTCTCCGGGCAAGAATACTGGAGTGGGTGACCATGCCTCTCTCCAGGGGATCTTCCTGACCCATGGATTGAACCTGGGTCTCCTGCATTGCAGGCAGATTCTGTACCAACTGACTACAAGGGAAGACCAATATTTAACACATTGAGAAAGAAAAATGGAAAAGACGGGAAAGTTTTGAGAAGGAAACATGGTATAAAATACAATGACACTTCAAAGAAGCAAGTCTCATAGACTGCTGATGTCAAGATAGTTCCGTGATTAGCATAAAATTGGTAGCTTGAATGTAACCAACTGCTGTATTTCACTAAAGATGTCTCAAGAGACACCTCAAGTACATTAACTTTCCCACACAGGACTCCCATTAGGTCCTGGAGAAAAATATCCTAGGGACCTACAGCAAAACAGAACAAAGTCCTGAGTCACCTTTTACTAAATCTTCAACACCCTCGGTCATTCAGGATGGGATCACAGTCTATATAGACCCAGGAGGGCCATGCCTACAACTCAAGCAAGCCGAGTGAACCCAAAGCTCAGAGCGCCCTGTGGGCTGTAAGGAGTACTAGAAAGTCCTCCAGTCTGCAAGGGTCCTGGTGGTGGGTTCCCTTCCTCTTTCCAGAGTGGCCCCTCCCTGCCACGACAGATCACCGTGCACCCGTATACACAGATCCCCAGAAAGACCTCGTGTGCACACCACAGTTCTGTGAAGGGTGAGCGGGAAGCAGGCACGAAAACACCAGCCCCTGCGCTCTCCTCCGGCCCAGCTCCCACCCGCCGCCTGGAACACACCTTGCTCCGGGCTCCCGGCTCCTGAAGAGGAGATGCAGGCCTGCCGCCGCCTTGGGGACGTCTCCTGTCACCACACCATGCTATCCTGGCTCACATGGCCAGAGGGGCCGAGAGTGACACCTGCCACAGAGCAATGTCTGGGACAGGTCATCAGGGTTAGGAAGGTGGGGTCCTGTACAGAAGGGACTGCTGACTACTCAGCCAAAAAGCAAGAATGAAACGAGGCCTTTTCAAGCAACCTGGATAGCCCTGGACTTGGCATACAGGGTGAAAGACCTTAAACGTAGGCATTCTGGAAAATATATACACTGTTAGTTATAGGTGGGCTCTAAAACACAAGACAACTGAGCCCAAGGCAGAAACAACTGACCGCCAGGCCCACAACACAGCCTGAGCGCGGCCGACGCAAACAAGCTGCCGGCGCGGCGGATGGGAGGGCCTGATGACGTGAACACCCGCACGCAGAGCAGCTGGTCCAGAAAGACAGTGTCCAGCATGGACAAGTCAGACCCCACTCTGTAATAAACTAAGGCGCTAAGTGAAACAAAAATAATACATACGTGCACACACACACACGCATGTTTATGTGCATACCTAAGTGAATCAAGTGGCTGGACACCCAGGAGAAACAACAGAAAAGGAACCCTATTCCAAAGGAAGCCACAAACTGAAGGTAAAAGCAAGGCCAGCGACAGTCCCCCGAGGGCTCTGGCACCTGGGCTGTGTCCCATCCCTGAAGCCTGAGCAGTTTTGGGTCCCGACGCTGGACACGCAGGAGCTGCAGGAGCTGGTCAGGGTGAGACCGGTCGCACACGGCGGTGCTGGGCCCTGCACAGCGGGGACCACGTTCTGCAGAGCTGGGAGGGCCCAAGGTCGGCGCACGCTCCGGTCAGCAAGGGCTCCGAAAAGGCACCGCGTCTACCAGCATCCTGGGGACAGACTTCTTCCCGCTCTCCATGAGAAGCCCCTCCCTGCCGGGACAGCACCCTCAGCCCGGCGGTTTTCCAGCGGTTGAGATCTGCCTGCTGGGGCATGAGGTTAACGGGGAGGCAGGAAGGAGACGCAAGTCCCTGGCTGTGTCCTCTGGCACACCCCACTCTCACCTAGCACCCAGACCTTCTCTAGCCTCTCGCTGCCCTAGCAACCAGAACAGAAAATGCAGGAATGCGGCCATCTTACGTCTGTACCAACAACTTAAAATACGGTGCGTTCCGGCCCCTTTACACAGATTTGGGGAGTGTAAATACCGCCTGCCTCTGAGCTCCGTTCCTACGTTTTGTCTTAAGTCTTTGTGACCCCATGCATTATTGCCCGCCTGTCTTCCTTGTGCATTGAATTTTGTACGCAAGATTTGAGTGGGTTTCCATTTCCTCCTCCAATATACACTCCCGATCCCTGGACTGCACTGGCGTTTGCCGCACTGGAGGCGGCTTTTTTACCACTCAGCACTTGGTGCACGCGTGCTCAGCTGCTGCAGCCGTGTCAGAATTTTCTTGGTTGTAGGACTCCTCTGTCTGTGGGATTCTCCAGGCAAGAATACTGGACTGGGTTGCCATGTCCTCCTCCAGGGGATCTTCCCCACCCAGGGATCGAATGTGCATCTCTTGTATCTCCTGTATTGGCAGGTGTTATTTTTACTAATAGCGCCACCTGGGAACCCCCGAGCCACCAGGCAGACCACAAGAGACGCGTTCCGGGAGACAAGGAAGCCCGCCACGTGTGACGGCTGGACTGTCCCAGAGGCATCGCGCTAAGTGAGGTCAGACGGGGAGACCGAGCGCAGGGCTCACACACGTGTGGGGCTCTCAGGGCCAAAGTCATACGAATGGAAACAGAGGGGAAACATGGCTGCCAGGAACGAAGTGCTAAAACACAGGACAGGTGGTGAAAGGTGACAAGCTCTCACCCACAGGATGAGTGAGCATTAACGTAACACAGTGTGTGTGACCGAGCACACTGCGGTGCACAACGGAAACTGCTGCTCGGACAGCGGACTCTGCACATGGACGTCACCAGATGGTCAGCACCAGATTCATTATACTCTTTGCAGCCAGAGATGGAGAAGCTAAATACAGTCAGCAAAAACAGGACCAGGAGCTGACTGTGGCTCAGATTATGAACCTATTGCCAAATTCAGACTTAACTTGAAGAAAGTAGAGGAAACCACTAGAACATCAGGTATGTCCTAAGTCAAATCCCTTACGTTACACAGTGTAAATGATAAACAGATTCAGGGGATTAGACCTGAGAGACAAAGAGCCTGAAGAACTATGGGTGGAGGTTTGGGACACTGTACAGGAGACAGGGATCAAGACCATACCCCAAAATAAGAAATGCCAAAGGCAAAATGGCTTTCTGAGGAGGCCTTGCAAATAGCTGAGAAAAGAAGAGAAGCTAAAGGCAAAGGAGAAAAGGAAAGATATTCCCATCTGAATGCAGAGTTCCAAAGACTAGCAAGGAGAGATAAGAAAGCACTCCTCAGTGATCAGTGCATAGAAATAGAGGAAAACAATAGAATGGGAAAGACTAGAGATCTCTTCAAGAAAATTAGAGATACCAAGGGAACATTTCATGCAAAGATGGGCTCAATAAAGGACAGAAATGGTATGGACCTAACAGAAGCAGAAGATATTAAGAGGAGGTGGCAAGACTACACAGAAGAACTGTACAAAAAAGATCTTCACGACCCGGATAATCACGATGGTGTGATCACTCAACTAGAGCCAGACATCCCGAAATGTGAAGTCAAATGGGCCTTAGGAAGCATCACTATGAACAAAGCTAGTGGATGTGATGGAATTCCAGTTGAGCTATTTCAAATCCTAAAAGATGATGCTGTGAACTGCTGTACTCCATATGCCAGCAAATTTGGAAAACTCAGCAGTGGCCACAGGACTGGAAGAGGTCAGTTTTCATTCCAATCCCAAAGAAAGGCAATGTGAAAGAATGCTCAAACTACCACACAATTGCACTCATCTCACACACTAGTAAGTTAATGCTCAAAATTCTCCAAGCCAGGCTTCAGCAATATGTGAACTGTGAGCTACCAGATGTTCAAGCTGCTTTTAGAAAAGGCAGAGGAACCAGAGATCAAATTGCCAACATCTTTTGGATCGTAGAAAAAAACAAACCAATTCCAGAAAACCATCTACTTCTGCTTCATTGACTACCTTAAAGCTTTTTTACTATGGAGATCACTACAAACTGTGGAAAATTCTGAAAGAGATGGGAATACCAGACCACCTGACCTGCCTCTTGAGAAACCTGTATGCAGGTCAAAAACAGAACTGGACATGGAACAACAGACTGGTTCCAAATTGGGAAGGAGGACGTCAAGGCTGTATACTGTCACCCTGCTTATTTAACTTACATGCAGAGTACATTGTGAAAAATGCCAGGCTGGATGAATCATAAGCTTGTCGGCAGAAATATCAATAATTTGATATTATGCAGATGATACCACCCTACTAGCAGAAAGTGAAGAGGAACTAGAGAGTCTCTTGATGAGGGTAAAAAGAAGAGAGTGGAAAAACTAGCTTAAAACTCAACATCAAAAAACTAAGATTATGGCTTCCAGTCCCATTACCTCAGGGCAAATAGATGGGGAAAAAATGGAAATGGTAACAGACTTTATTTTCCTGTCTCCAAAAATCACTCCAGATTGTGACTGGAATCAAGAAATTAAGACACTTCATGCTCCTTGAAAGAAAAACTGTAACAAACCTAGACAGTCTATTAAAAAGCAGAGACATCACTTTGCCAACAAAGGTCTGTATACTCAAAGCTGTGATTTTTCCAGTAGTCATGGACGGATGTGGGAGCTGGACCATAAAGAAGGCTGAGCACCGAAGAGCTAATGCTTTCAAACTGTGCTGAAGAAGACTCTCGTGAGGGTCCCTTGGACAGCAAAGAGATCCTACTAGTCCATCCTAAAGGAAATCATTCTTTCCCTATTCATTGGAAGGACTGATGCTGAAGCTGAACCTCCAATGATTTGGCCACCTGATGTGAAGAACTGACGCACTGGAAAAGACCCTGATGCTGGGAAAGACTGAAGGCAGAAGAAGGGGACACCAGAGGATGAGATTGTTGGATGCTATCAGTGACTCAATGGACATGAACTTGAGCAAGCTTCAGTGACCATCAGGGAGGCCTGCCCGGCATGCTGTAGTACATGGTATTGCAGAGCTGGAGACGCCTCAGTGATGAACAACCAACTGCAGCTGTCGTTATACCTCGGTCAAGCCGAGTTTTAAAAGTTGTATTTCCACCTGTGTAGCCTGATGTATGTAAACATAATGCATATGTATTACATCTGCAGCACAAAGATGCTAATAAAGAGGCAACTGCATTTCATGTATGGCAGTAGGAGTATTGCCTGCCTGAAAAATTAGGAATACATTGTAATCCCAAGGAAAAAAAAAAAGTGAAGAAAAAAGACAGCCTAAAAGATGTCAGTTAAAATGAATTCTAAAAAAAAGAATTTCAGAATAGCTCTCAGTTGTAAACAGTAGCAGTGTCCTTCAACAGAGGAGATCAATGCTCAAACAGGCAGGTCTGCTCTGGTGGCGTTGGTATGCGTGCATTTCAGCTATCACGGGGGACGGTCTGAATGTGTTAATTCCCTGCAACCCTCAAGTCCAGCTGGACGAGATCAGCAGACAGGTGATGGAGTCATGAGGCGGGCCCTCAGGAAGGGGAGCAGCGCTGCTGCAGGGGGACGCCGCGAGCTCCTTCAACCTCCCAGCGCGTGAAGACACGGTCGGGGGTGTGGGCCCTCACCAGAACCTGATCGTGTGGCTCACTGATCTCGGACTTCCTGGCCTCCAGAACTGCAACAGTAAACAAGCCTGCTGTTTTTAAGTCTCCCGGTCTGTGCTCTTTTGTTACAGCATCCGAAACAGGCTGAGAAGCCATGTACAGTGAGATCTTCATTCCCGGTTCCCGGGACTGGGACCTCCTCTGGAGAAACCATGTCTGCTGACGCAGCGAGGGATCTCGACAGGGGCTCGTCCTGGGTTAATGGGGGGTCTCACAGGAGCCAGAAGGGAGAGAAGCAGGGGAGGAGGCGGAGGCGGAGCGGTGCGGCCACCCGAAGCCGCGAGAGGGGCCTGGGACTGAGTCTCCTTCGGAGCCCCCGGGGCAGCCCAGCCTGCAAGCGGTGGGGCGCCGTCTGCTGTCTCCAGCCACGCAGTCTGGGTAGCGTTCCAGTGTTCCAGCAGCCATGGAAACAAACCCCCACGGTTCTGGAAACCGTCACCGGTGCCCCCGCAACATGGTTCAGATTCCACCCTCACGACACAGACCGCATGAAGCACAGCCAGCTCTTCAGTTCAGTCCAGACCACCAGACAACACGCGAGCGTGGCAGGACCAACCGTCTGGAACTCTCTTCTCCAGTCTGTCAGTGACAGCCCACTGTGCATCCATCGGTCAGTCAGCGGTGCTGTGTTGCCTCATTTCCCAGTGCTAAATCCTCAAGAGATTTCATAAAAACGGGCCGAAACCGGCGAACACGGACCAACGCGCAGCCAGGAACTGGAGGGTGGTGGCGCTGGAGGTGAGAGTGAGCCTGACGTCTCAGCTCTCCACCGTCCACAGCGCGCCAGCAAACTCATCCTGTTCTCCCCAGCAGAAGGAGAACCCGGATCTGTTCCAGAAACCTCCACGCCTCCCGGCCTGGCCCTAACCCTAACCCCTGCTGTATCTCGCCTGGCTTGTTGTAACAGGCTGACTGGTCTCCCCATTTCCCCCATCTCCTCTTTCAGGTCATATCACTCCTCTGGTCAAAATCCTACGACGGCTGCCCACCTCAACCAGAATAAAAGCAGGGTCGACCCAGTGCCCGCAGCCCCACACGAGGTGGCCCACCCTCCCTTCTCACCCAGCTCCGCCCTGCTGCTCCCAGCGCGGCAGACGCGCTCCGGCTGCAGTCTCTCTCTGCAGTGGCCGGTCCCTCCCTCGCATGTCCCTCTCAACCACATGGACATGGTCACTGCCTCACCTCCTCGAGGTCTCTGCTTGCTCTGCTGAGGTTCTGCAGGCTCCAACACGGACACCGCAACCCCTCATTTCCTGTCCCCATTCCCAGGATGATTTCTCTCCTTGGTCCCACTGTCTAATAAATCCTTTCTTGTTTACCTCATTTGTTTACTTCATTCGGTGCAATGTGAACAGTGTGTGGGCTGGGATGTCTGTCATTTTTTTATAGCCGTATCCCCAGCAACTAGAAAAAGTCTGTCACACAGATCCTCATCGCCATCCTCATTGTCTCATGCTGAATGATCGACCAGGCATGACAGGTCTACCTCAGCATTACAAGCAGAATTTCAGGGGCATACCGCTCAGCTAAGAACCAAAAGGCAAGCCCACTTCACCCCGGCTGCGCTCATCTCTGCGCCCCCAGAGCCCGGCCCGCCACCCGAGAGCGAGCAGACACCGAGTGGCCTGAGGCTCCCACGGGGAGGCTGCGCGACAGGACGAGAGCCAGGCCGGCACCGCAGCATGCTGGCTCTCACAGCACTTACCCCATCCCCTGTTTGAAAGCTTCAATCAGCTCGTTCTTTTTGTTCTGATCTTCTACCCAGTACACACTTGGAATTACAAACTCTGATATCACGCGGCACTCTGGACAAGACCTGCAACGAGAAGCGGGTTAGGGAGGGAGAGACTCAGTCACAAACCCCGTGCCCACTCCACCACCAAACCTCGTGCGCAAGTGTGTGACCAGCCCGGTGCCGCTCACCTCTGAATTCTATAAAGTACAGACACACTCCTCTGAGCCTAATTTACACTTAAAACATGTTCAACAGTAAAAGAACAGCCTAATTTTAAAATGGGGAAAGGATTTGAGTAGGCATTTCTCCACAATGGCCAACAAGCACAGAAAACGATGTTTAGTACCATTGGTTATCAGGGAAATGCAAATTAAAAACATACTAAGGTATCACTTCACACCTGCTAGGATGGCTAACATCAGAAATCAAAAGACAATTTCAAAATAAGTGTGGGCAAGAATATGGAGAAACTGGAATCCTCCTACGTTGCTGAAAGTGTAAGTCGCTCAGTCGTGTCCGACTCTCTGCGACCCCACAGACTATACAGTCCCTGGAATTCTCCAGGCCAGAATACTGGACTGGGTAGCCTTTCCGTTCTCCAGAGCATCGTCCCAACCCAGGGATCGAACCCAGGTCTCCCGCATTGCAGGTAGATTCTTTACCAGCTGAGCCACAAGGGAAGCCCAAGAATACTGGGGTGGGCAGCCTATCCCTTCTCCAGTGGATCTTCCCGACCCAGGGATTGAACCGGGGTCTCCTGCATCGCAGGCGATTCTTTACCAACTGAGCTATCAGGGAAGTCCCTGGGGATGTAGGATGGTTCACCCACGTTTTTAACAGACTCAGAGCTTTGGGGCTTTTATTTGGCTGTGTTGGTGTTAGCTGCGGCGCACGGACTCTGGTGGCGCACGGGGTGGGGAGCCATGGGGTGCTCCGAGGCATGTGGGGTCTCAGCTCCCTGATGAGGGGGCTGAACCCACATCCCTTGCACTGCAAGGGGGGTTGTTCACCACGGGATCACCAGGGACGTCCCTGGTTCAGCCACTCCGGATAGCAGTCTGGCAGGTTCTCAAAATGTTTAACACAGAGTTTCCATATGCTCAGCAACTGCACTCCTAAGTGTATACTCAGAAGTATTGAAAATAAGCAGGCAAACAAATGCACAAATATTCACAAGCACACCAGCTAAACAACCCAAAAGATGAAAACAATCTAGAAGTTCATCAACTGATGAACACATAAACAAAATGTGGCCTAGGCATATAATGGAATATTACTCAGTCACTAAAGGGAACAGTATATTGATTCATGCTACAATATAGGTGAACTCTGAAAACATGCTGAGTTAAGAAGCCAGAGAGAAAGGCCTGCTTATTGTATGATTCCATTTCATGTGTCCAGAACAAGCAATTTCAAAGAGACACTGATTTACTGATTGAAATCAACCTTGAATGTTCATTGGAAGGACTGATGCTGAAGCTGATGCTCCAAAATTTTGGCCACCTGATGCTATGAATGGACTCATTGGAAAAGACCCTGATGCTGGGAAAGACTGAAAGCAGAAGGGCACGACGAGGATGAGAGGGTTGGGTGGCATCACCGACTCAAAGGACATGAGTCTGACCAAGTGCTGGGAGGTGGTGAAGGACAGGGAAGCCTGGCGTGCTGCTGTCCATGGGGTCGCCAAGAGGCGGGCACGACTGAGCGACTGAACAACAACGTAGCTGCCAGGGGCTGGAAAGAGGAATAGGCAGTGACCCGAAGCAGAGCTGTTGTTTTTAAGATGATGAAAATGTTCTAAAATTAGACTCTACTGACAGCTGCACTGCTCTGAATATAATAAAAATCCTCTGAACTGTTTTATCTCAGTAAAGCTATTACCTCCCCACACAGATGTGTGACTTCATGCAAGTCACCTGACCGCCCCGCTGAGCTTCCCTACACAAAACGAGGGCGATGGTCACGGGGTCACTGAGAGAATGACGACTGAACGTGTGACGTTCTCACGCTACACAACATGTGGTGACCTCTCACTGACGGTGAGTCTCCTCCCTCCCCGCTGAGGAACTGAAGACTCCCATGTTGTGACGCGTGCATTCTCTCTCAACAAGGTTTGGGGACAAAGCCCTCTGCTGACTCACTGAGGAACTTCCAGTATCAGACACCATGCAAGATGTGTTACATGCACCACTTCACTGAGGCTTCAAATGACCCCTATTTAACAGATGGAAAAAAATCAGCAACTGTCCTAAGGGCGGACCACCAGTAACTGTGAGCCCGAGTCCAGTGGGCCTTCTCGCACAGGGGTGCCTACTGAGGGTCCCCCGACACCTCAGATGCCTGCAGGAACTGACACCCACATTTAAAAGGAGACGGCATCTGGGTTCAGGGGGGTCTGCAACTTGCTCAAGGCCCTGCAGCCTGGAGGACAAGCGAAGGCTTCAGAGCGGATGGAAGAAGGTCCCGGGTCAAACCTCCTCCTAGCGTCTATAGCTCAGACCCCAGCTGCACTTACTTGATGATGGGGTTCTCAAACTGCTTGGCGCACCGCCACTGCCGGATGCAGGACAAGCAGTACGTGTGGTTGCAGCTGGAGAGGATTCCGAACCTCCGCTCCGAGGCCGACGCCTTCTCCAGGATCACCTCCATGCAGATGCTGCAGACTTTGTCCTGGCTTGCCTGGAAGGCGAAGGCCTTCTCCATCTCATGTTCGAATGTTGCCATGCAGGCCTGAGGTACGGGGGAGGAGGGAAGCCTGAGGTCCGGGAGCGGGGAGAGGCGCGAGCCGGGAGCAGCTGGCGCCCACGCAGCCCAGCTCGGACGGGGGACTGAGGCTGCCGAGGCAGGGCCTGCGTCCGGGACACGACGCACTCTCAGGCCACCACTGGCTCGGCCCCTGCCCGCCACACTGCTCCAGGGTTGCCTCCAATTTAAACCCAAGATCAGAGGCCCGAGGTTACAGGGCCGACGTGGCGTCACAGAGGTTGCCAGGAATGGGACCCTGGTCTCCTGGCCCCTCGGGCACTGCCTTTCCCCACACCAACACCAGACATGGTGAATAATTCTTAATCTAAAACATCTGGCTGACAGGCCAGGGTCAGAGGTCAGCAGCATCACTTCCTCCCAGGAGAAGCAGTTACTGGACACACCCCTCCACTCAGGAAGCAGGTGAACACGTTCCAGTGCGGCACCAGTCTACGTGAAGGGTGCGCAGGCCTAGGCCCTGGCACAGTGGACGCACACAGGAGTGAACCCATGTGACACCGGGCACCGCGTCCTTGGGGGGGAGGGCAGCTCTAAGCGGTGTTCACCGCCTCACCCCCTGGAGACGGCAGGGGTGCAGACCACCCCACAGCCTGTGCCGAGCAGAGGCCTCCATAAGACACTGGAGCCTCCGGCCCTGCACGGTCCCTTCCAGCACCGGGCTCCTCAAACTCTCCGGGGCTCGGCCTGACTGGCCAGGCCCAGGATGCAGGTATTACTGGCAGAAAGACGCGGACAGAGCGGCCAAGGATTTCGTCACTTGGTGCGCTTCCCGCTCCTTCAGATGCGTTCATGTAAAGCCGGGCACTGTACCTTCTCGTGAGCTTTCCTCTGCTCTGGGTCGAAGGGGTGCAGGACGCGTAATCTACAGATCTCGCACGCGTCCCCATGCAGGTAGACACACGCGTCCCCAAAGCGGCACTCCCCGGCGGCCGCATAGGGGCACAGCTGCTGCCCGCCGTTGTAGGAGCTGCTGGCCTCCAGGTTGTCCAGGCCGCTCCTGATGGCGTCCAGGTAGGAGTGTGGCTTCAGCTCGGGGCCGCTCTGCGCGTCGCTGCAGCCCCTGGGACCACTCCCCACGCCCGGGCAGGTCGTGTCTTCAGCCGTGCCGGAGAGATCTGAGGAGAAGATACAGCGCACAGACCCGTGAACACTGGCCCAGCCTTTCTGGGAAGCCATCAGTCAAACCCTGACAAGTTAACCCTGACTTTGGGAATGTATGGGAAAAAGCAAAGGCCACAGGGGAAAAATGTTCAGAGTGATATTACTTAGAATTGTAATAAAAACCAAAAAGCCGTAATTGGCAACACAGGGAAATAGCAAAGCAGACAGTGATATATTTATATAAAAGAATGTGTAAGTTGCTTTTTAAAAACAGCAAGTATGGAAATGTCAACACATGGACCAGTTACACTTAAAAAAAAAAAGAAAAAGTCAAATGGAATCCGGAATGATGTCAACAGAATTACAGAGGCTGCCTTTTCACCAGTCACTTTACAGTGAGGAGACTAAAGATCTGGGGCGGACTTCTGGCTGTTTAGCCACCATCCACCTGTCACACAGGAGCTGCCGCCGCCCCAGCACACACTCCTAACCTCCTCAGAGCGGGTATCTATGGGATGGACCTGTTGTTTGCTTGGTAGGGTATCTGCCTATCTTAGGCTGAACAATTTCCAGAAGTAGAAACTCCTTCACCTGGTGAGAACCAGCCAATAAAAACAACTACAATTTGTAGTCTCTGACCCAGGCAAACCCTGTTCCAGGGCACAGACCACTCCCTAAACCCTAACGGGCTGTTTTATTTCTGAAAGTGCAACTGGCTCAGCGTGAGAACTAAGACCATGAACTGACACAGACGAGAAACAGTGAAACATGCGCTTCATCAAAATGAGGAGCTTTGCGATGAGCAGCCTGTGGCCTCTCAGAGCTGGGCCAGCACCCCACGGGGTGACAGCACGCGGTGCCAACAGCGTCCCTTTCAGGCTCTGCCTGCAGACCCGGGCTCGGCCCCACCTTGGGCACGAGGCCAGGCGTGTGGCCCGAGCACCCTGCAGCCAGAGCAGGCCGTTCTCAGGCTGGCTCTGGGTAGTCGGTGAGGAGCCCCCCGGCAGAGAAGGCCTAGAACACAAGGGTGCTGCTCAGAGGGGAGACGGAGGGCTGTGCTCACTCACTTCGGTCTCTTAGCACCAATGTCCTCTTTTCACGTTTCCCGGGCTCATGTAAGTTAGCTTTCACGACTGATGCGGCGAGCTCAGAAGGAGGGCGAGGGCTGTGGAAACCCGGGGAGGGCACCCCGTGGGGCACGCTGCCCACGGCCCCACCAGCCGCAGCAGAGGGCCTCGTGTGATCGTACCTGCACAGAACACACGGCAGGGGCATCAGACACCCCACACGCACAGCCTCCCGCCGCCCCAGGCCGGCAACGTCGCCCCCTCTGCTCCATCTGAGGGCGTGGACAGGGAGACAACCTTCTCCTGTATGTTAATCGATAAAACTCTCCCAGACCACACGGAGCCTGACCTGCCAGGAGATGCTGGCTGTTTCCTGGACTCCTGAGGGCGCCCACTGGCGGGAGGAGAGCAGGGCGGGCGAAATGCCCGCGTCCAGGGAGCAGAGTGAGGGACCGGGGGCGCGCCACGGTCCCGGAAGCAGAGCAGCTGCTCACTGTGAGAGCACAGGGCAGGCTTTGGAATGTGCTCCTGTCCAAAAGGTACAGAACTTGCCTACAGATGTTGCTTACAAATGAAGATTCTATGCGCACATAAGTGTCTGCTGCATGGGTACTCACAACAAAAAGCTGGAAGCTACTTAAGTCTCTAAAAGTAGTTAATATAGGGACAGTTAAATGATGGTACATCAACATTATAGAAAATTATAATATTACACTTAGTGCATAACAGTAGCAGCACTGGGAAGAGCTTATGACATGTTATTAAACAAAAAAAGGCAAGACGTAAAATCTTGGGTATACTGTGAATGCAAATTTATAATTACAGACTCAAAAGAATGGGCCTGAAAGTCACTTGTGTAAAATTAAAATTGTTTTTAGGGCACTAAGTTTGAAATTTCCAAATTATTTTTGCACACTCCTTTTGAAGTTCTCCACTCATCAAGACCCAAGCTCCAGATGAAGGATTTAAAGCCCCGCACGCAGCCAGCTCAGGTAACAGCTGGTGCAGATGCGCGCTCTTGCCTGCAACGCGTCCCGTAGGCGCAGCAGCCCTTCTGGTAGTATTTGCAGATGGTGGATGGCTTGCTGTTCGCCAAGTCATGTGAGAACAGGCACTGGCTTCCTTCCCGACACACACCGTGCATAAAATACCTGGAGAGAAAGCAGAGGCACAGGGCTTTTAGAAGCATGCTTTACTTTCTTAAAATCGCCATATTCTTGGACCAAGTACACACACACACTCTCCATATACTACGTGTTAACTGGGCACTGGAGATCCCATGTGTCCTTGACTTGAAGACACAGTGATTTTAGACACATCACAGCTATTTCCGTGGCAGCGTTTCCAGAAGAAAAATGATGCCATATATTTCTATCTTACAATACATCCTCTTGATTTAAGATATATTACACACGTAAAATGTGAGCCTCCTAACTGAGAAAGCACACACTTAAGAACCACTCTGTTCTCAGAGTTAAAGAGTCTGCTTGTACATAAGTCAGAGATCTGGGCTCAAGCCCCAGCGGTATCAACCATCAGCATGTCACAAAACCAGCTTTGGTGGGCCTCGCTACCTTCACCTGTAAAATAAAATTTTACTACCTACCCTACTAACCCGTGGTGAGGACCAAACAAAACAGCGTAGCACCAAGACATTTACAAATAAGAACATTCCACTAAGTTGTCCAATTCTGGCTCTGAAGGAACCACAGGGAGGCATTCTAGCTCTGTTCAGCCAGAGCAGAGAGACCTCACTGAATACTCAAGAGCGAACTGGAGTGGGATGTGCTTTGGCATTAAGGGTAAACACCTTCTCAAATAAAGAGATTTTAGATCTGCCTCAATAATGTTTAGAAAAAGAGAGAAAAGCTTCAAAACAAGCTAGATGATAGCAAATAATTTACTGGCAGTTAAAACAAACTTTAGCATTCTGTGAGGGAGGACAATAAAATCTAAATGCTCAAAAACACTGGATATACCAAAAAGCAGGAAAATGTGACCCACAACCAGGAGAAAAATCAGTCAGTTCCAGGAATGGCAGGCAACAGACTCAGGGGACAAGGGCTTTAATTACAGCTATTACAGGTCATGGTCAATACGCTGAAGGTTTTAAGAGAGACACAAAAATAACATGAGGAGAAATGGACAATAGAGCAAAGAACCAAAAGGAACTTCTACAATATATGAACCAAATGAAAGCTATAATATATGAAATAACAATTACACCGTGACAGCAAATTAGCACTACCTAAGAAAATCACAGAAAACTTGAAGACACAGCAACAGAAACTGACTCACAAGAAAAGAGATTTTTGCTTCCAGCCAGGAGGCACATGCAACTTGTCCTTCCACTGTGAAAAACTAGGAAACTGTTTGACATGTTTTGTTCTGTTTCCTAAACAACTGCTTTCATACCTGGACAAAAGGCAGCACCAGACTGGCCCTTGAGGAGAAGGCAAACGAAGGCGCCAAGCCCGGCTTTCTGCCATGAGGCACATCTGGGCCTTGGAGCAGGGAGGGCAACCCCAAGCAGAGCCCCGCTGTCTTGCTGAGGTGAAGAGACAGCAACTGCAGTTCAAGGAGGCAGCGGGAGGCTCTATAAATAGAGCTTATAAAAGCTCCAGAAAAGCCTATAAACAGAATCGCACAGGCAGTGACTGACTTTTGATAAAGGTGTCCAGGTAATTCAACAAATGATGTTGGACCCATACATACAGGAAAAAAAAAAAATTTATGTCTGCTGATGTTACCCAGTATGAGTGAAGTATACAACAAAATTGCCACGTATCCTAGCCAAAAACACTTAAACCTGAATCCAACAAAACTACGGATCTACACATCAAAAAAGAATAAAATACCTAGGATTAAACCTACCTAAGGACATAAAAGAACTGTACTCTTAAAAACTGTAAGAATACATAAACATATGGAAAGATATACCATGTTTGTGGACTGAAAGAATCAATATTGTCAAAATGACTATACTACCCAAGGCAATCTACAGATTCAATGTAATCCCTATCAAATTTCCAATGGCATTTTTTACAGAAATAGAACAAAAATCTCAAAATCTGTGTGTAGACACAAAAGACGCCAAATAACCAAAGCAATCCTGAGAAAGAAAAACAGAGCTGGAGGAATCAGGTGCCCGGACTTCAGACTATACTACAAAGCTACAATTGTCAAAACAGTATGGTACTGGTACAAAACCAGAAATGCACATCAATGGAACAGGACAGAACACCCAGAAATAAGCCCACGCACCTACGGTCAACTGATCTATGACTGAGGAGCTAAGACTACACAATGTCAGAAAGACAGTCTCTTTAACAAATGGTGCCGGGAAAACTGGACAATCACATGCAAACAGATCATTCTTTAACTCCACATACAATAATAAGCTCAAATAGGATTCAAGACCTAAATGAGAGACCAGATACTATCAAACTCCTAGAGGAAAACATAGGCAGAATACTCTCTGCAATAAATCACAGCAACATCTTTTTCTGATCCATCTCCCAGAATAATCAAAATAAAAACAAAAATAAATGGGACCAACTCAAACTCAAAAGCTTTGCCACAGCAAAGGAAACTATAAACAAAACGAAAAGACAACTCACAGATTGGAAGAAGTATCTGCAAATGATGTGACAGATAAGGGATTAGTCATGATCAAAATATATACAAACAGCTCGTGATGTTTAAGAGTATCAAAACAATCAACTCACTCAAAAAATGGAAAGACCTAAACAGACATTTCTCCAAAGACATACAGATGGCCAATAGGCACATGAAAAGATGTTCAATATCGCTAATCATTCAAGAAATGCAAGTCAAAACTACAGTGAGAGATCACCTCACATCCGCCAGAATGGCTATCATAAAAAAACCCCACAAACAATAAATGCTGGAGAGGGCATGAAGAAAAGGGAGCCCTCCTACCCTGTCGTGAGGAATGCAAACCGGTACCAGCCATTATAGAGAACAGTACAGAGGCTCCTTAAAAAACTAAAAAGAGAGCTACCATATGACCCTGCAACCCCATTCCTGGGCATATACAGATGGATAAAAACATGATCCAAAAGGATATGCACACCCCAATGTTCACTGCAGCACTGTTTACAACAGCCGAGACATGGAAGCAACTTAAATATCCACTGGCAGAGGAGTGGATAAAGACAACGTGGTACATATAATACAAGGGAATATTACTCAGCCATTAAAAAAGAATGAAATAATACAATTTACAGCAACCATGGATGGACCAAGAGTATCATAGTGAGTGAGGTAAGTCAGACAGAGAAGGAGAAATACCATGTGACATCCCTTAAATGCGGAATCCAAAAAGAAATTATACAAATGAACTTACAAAACAAAAACTCACAGACTTAGAAAATGAACTTATGGTTGCTGAGGGGAAGAAATAGGGAGTTTGGGACGGCCATGTACACACTGCTGTATCTTAAATGGATAACCAACAAGGACTACTGTATAGAGCATGGAACTCTCCGTTGCTATGTGACCGCCTGGACAGGAAGGGGGCTTGGGGGAGAATGGATATATATAATATATGCATGACTGAGTCCCTTCCCTGTTCACCTGAAACCGTTACAACATTGTTAACCAGCTATACCAAAATACAAAATAAAAAGTTCAAGAAAACCCGAAACCGCACATCTTTGAGTTTATAGGAAATTCAGGAGGATTGGGAACAAACTAAAAGACTTCATGATGAAGCAACCAAATAAATACAAAAGAGGAGGCAGTTTGTGGGTCAGGTCTCTTTACCAAGCGTCATGGGAAAAAAGAGTAAGGGGAGAGGGTCTCGGTTTGGAAAACAGTTTGGCAGTTTCTTAAAACTTAAACATAAATTTACCACAGGACTCAGCAATTCCATTCCCAGGTGTCGACTCTGTCTATCCAAGAAAAATGAAAGCATGTTCAAACAAATACTTGGACAGGAATGTTCATAGCAACGTTATTCATAATAGTCAAAGAGTGAGAACTCTGACAATTCCATCAACTGGTGAACAGATAAACTGTAAAACATCCATACAGTGGGGTATTAATCTGGCAATAAAAAGGAATAAATAATGATGCATGCTACAAGGATGAAGTGTGAACACATCATAGTAAGTGAAATAAGACAGACACAAAAGACCACATGCTGCATGAATTCATTTACATGTAGTGTTAAAAACGGGGCACATCTACAGGGACAGAATGCTCCTTATACAGACCACTGCACACCTTATATAGGCTGCATAAAGACACAGTCCCTATAAATGGCATGAAAATTAAACTTCAATAAAGCTGTGAAAAGAAGAAAATTTAAAAAGGAGTAGATTGCACTAGATTAGTAGAATATAAGGTATGCAATAACCAATGAAATACTCGGTCCTGGATTATACTCTGGTTTGGACAAAGCAGCTCCAAAAAACATCTGTGCCCCTGGAGAAGGAAATGGCAACCTGCTTCAGTATTCTTGCCTGGGAAAAAAAATCCCATGGACAGAAGAGCCCGGTGGGCTATAGTCCATGTGGTCGCAAAAAGCTCAGACAAGACTTAGTGACTAAACAACAAGGTGGAATAAAACAGTGAATACATTGTTTAATAAAGTTCTTGGTGAAAATGGGGAAAAAAAAAAACCTGTGGGACAAATGAGGAAAGCTGAGTACAGACATGTCCAGACTAGATATCAGATAATTTATTGACATGGAAAACTGAGGAGTATTAACTGAAAAAAGCATATTACAAAACAGAACATACAGTAAAATGGTGCAGTCGTCACTCTGTAAAACAGTACAGTGATTCCTCAGAAAATTAAAAATAGAATTGCCATATGATTCAGCAATTCCACTCCTGGGTATACACACAAACGAACTGGAAACAAGAACTCTAGTACACCCCACATGATTCACAACAAAAGGTGAAAACAATCCAAGTGTTCAGCCCCGGACGAATGGATACAAACAATATGTGGTCTGCACACACGAGGAAGGAAGCCTGACAGTCGCTACAACATGGAAGACCTTTGAGGATGTTATGCTAAGTGATGAAACCAGACCCAAAAGACAAGCACTGTAGAATTCACGTCCACGAGGTGCTCAGAACAGTCAAATTCACAGCGAGGAAGCAGAATGGCTGTTGC